GTGTGTATGCAATATGATAATAATAATCCCAGAAATACTTTTAATAATTACTGAATTTCTTTTTCTACAATCCGGTTAAGGAATGTATACACTGGGGTGAGGGTTGCAATATAATAATAATAATAATCCCAGAATTACTTTCTCTATGGTCCTATTAAGGAATGTACACATTTGGGGGATTGGGTAAGTTTCAATATAATAATAATAATAATAATAATAATAATAATAGTAATAGATAATACTTCCAGATTATTATTATTATTATTATTATTATTATTATTAAACTTTATTTGTACCCCGCTAGCATCTCCCGAAGGACTCGATGCGGCTTACAAAGGCCAAGGCCTCAAAACACAACATAACAATACAAAACCTAAAGCAAATTAAAACAGTTAAAGCAATATTAAACAACAAGCAATAAACAATACATCAAGACACTATAAAACTGGGCCGGGCCAGAGTAATGGGTACAGATTAAAAGTGCTGATGTGACAGGTGATATGTAAGGATTATAGGGTAAGTGCAGTGTGCAGCAATCTTAATTCTAATAAAGTGCTTCTGGGACTTGTTACTGGAGTTTCCTATTCTGGAAAGGCACATCGGAACAGCCAGGTCTTCAAGTTCTTTCTAAAGACTGCCAATGTAGGGGCCTGTCTAAGATCTTTGGGGAGGATGTTCCAGAGTCGGGGGGCCACCACAGAAAAGGCCCTGTCTCGAGTCCCCACCAAGCGCGCCTGCGACGCAGGCGGGATCACGAGCAGGTCCTCTCTGGATGAACGAAGTGAACGTGTGGGTTCATAGACGGAGATGCGGTCACGCAGGTAGGGTGGTCCCAAACCGTTCAGGGCTTTGTAGGTAAGCACCTGCACCTTAAATTGGGCTCAGAAAATAAACGGCAGCCAGTAGAGCTCCTTAAACAGAAGGGTTGACCTCTCTCTGTAATGGGCCCCCGTTAGCATCCTGGCTGCTGCCAGTTGGACCAGTTGGAGTTTCCGAGCCGTTTTCAAGGGCAGCCCTACGTAGAGCGCGTTGCAGTAATCCAGTCTAGAGGTGACCAAGGCGTGGACCACCCCAGCCAGATCAGCCTTCACGAGGTACGGTCGCAGCTGGCGCACAAGTCTCAGTTGTGCAAAAGCCCTCCCGGACACCGCCGACGCCTGAGCCTCAAGCGTGAGCGATGAGTCCAAGGAGGACTCCCAAACTGCGGACCTGTGGCTTCAGGGGGAGTGTAACCCCGTCCAACACAGGTAGCCACCCTATACCCCAATCCGGTTTGTGATCGACCAGGAAGACCTCTGTCTTGTCAGGATTGATCTTCAGCTTGTTCCTCCTCATCCAGATAGACACAGCGGCCAGGCACTCGTCCAACACCCGAGAGGCCTCCTTGGAATTCGGTGGAAAAGTGTAGTAGAGTTGTGTGTCATCTGCGTAGAGATGGCACCCAACTCCAAAACTCCGGAGTTGTGGTAAGTGCAGTGTGCAGCAATCTTAATTCTAATAAAGTGCTTCTGGGACTTGTTACTGGAGTTTCCTATTCTGGGAAGGCACATCGGAACAGCCAGGTCTTCAAGTTCTTTCTAAAGACTGCCAATGTAGGGGCCTGTCTAAGATCTTTGGGGAGGGTGTTCCAGAGTCGGGGGGCTACCACAGAAAAGGCCCTGTCTCGCGTCCCCACGAAACGCGCCTGCGACGGTTGCAATATAATAATAATAACCCCAGAATTACTTTCTCTGTGATCCTGTTAAGGAATGTACACATTTGGGGGATTGGGTAAGTTTCAATATAATAATAATAATAATAATAATAATAATAATAATAATAATAGATAACACTTCCAGAATTACTTTCTCTACGATACTGTTAAGGAATGTATACACTGGAGGGAAAAGGGCAAAATAACAAGTACAACTATAATAATAATAATAATAACCAGTAGTTTTACCCATACTCTATACTGCAGAACACACATGGGCTCACTTGGGCCCTCCCTCCAGGTGTTTTGGACTACAACTCCCACAATTCCTAACAGCCTCAGGCCCCTTCCTTTCCCCCCTCAAGGGGCCTGAGGCTGTTAGGAATTGTGGGAGTTGTAGTCCAAAACACCTGGAGGGAGGGCCCAAGTGGGCCCATGCCTGCTATAGAATGAGTGCAGCTTGAGGCCTCGATGGTATGGAATCACCAAAGTTGTAGGAAGGAAGCTCCCTCACCGGCTTGGCGCTGGACCCCTTGAGCGTGGCCGCGGCGTCGTAGACATGGCAGCGGAGGACCGTGCTGCCCACGTCGACGCCCACGACGAGCCCCGCCGGGGAAGGAGAGCCGCCGCCGTCGCCGCCGCCGCCGGGCCCCTTCACTCCCTCCATGGCCCACGGGAGGTGAGGAGCAGGGCAGGCAAGGAAGGAGGGAGAGAAGGCAGGCAGGCTGCGCCTCCGCGAAGGGCGGGCCCCGGAAGGTAGGCCGTGCGCTGAGGAGGAGGAGGAGAGGAGGAGGAGCCTGCCCTGCTTTGTGGCGCATCTACACCGCCCAAGTGATGCGCGTTGACACCTCATGCACTGCCAGGATCCGTGACAGTCCTAGTTTGCCAAGATCCTTATGTTAGAATGTTGAGGCTGGCCAATCGGAAACCATATGCAAATTAGTAGGTCGAGATAGCTCATGCATGGGCCAACTTAGGCCCTCCCTCCAGGTGTTTTGGACTTCAGCTCCCAGAATTCCTAACAGCCTCAGGCCCCTTCCTTTTCCCCCTCAGCCGCTTAAGGAAGGGGCCTGAGGCTGTTAGGAATTCTGGGAGTTGAAGTCCAAAACACCTGGAGAGCCCAAGTTTGCCCATGCCTGATCTATACTGATCATTATTGCTTGCATTTTCCTTCTTTTGGTCTGTAAATGTTCTTGCCTCTTACCTCATAAATTCCTAATCAAATTTGCTTCTAAGTGAGTAGTGTAGAAATAGCTGATTGACCAATTTTCTGAAAAGCAAAACATCTTTCAAGGGTTTGAAATCAAGCATACCCCCCCCCCCAACAAGGGATGGTGACTTATAGTTCTGCAAAGGACAAAGGTACCAGACTGCACAATAGGGGTTAAGTCTTGGTCAATTTGCCAAGGCCTTAACAACAATGAGGACCCCATGAAACTTCGGGAATAGCTAGACCTTGGGGTCTCTGCCTCTCTCGAGAGCTGTAGTTTTCCAAGGACCATGGGACCGGCTTCCATCCCAGCGCTGCAGGGCTTTGTGTCTTGGCCCAGTGGAACTCCATAGACTCCCTTTGGTGGCTTTTTGAATTCTGCTACATTCCTGGACTTCACTCTCTTCAAGGACTCGCTCTCTACCCATGAACTTTCTTCAAGACAACTTATGAATTCATGCTGTGTCCTAAAAAAGGCAGGTTTTAACTTTTTTTTCAAAAACTTAGGAGGGTGGGGGCCGATCTGATATCCCTAGGGAGGGCATTCCATAGCCGAGGGGCCACCGCTGAGAAGGCCCTGTCCCTCGTTCCTGCCAACTGAATCTGTGAAGAAGGCAGGACCGAGAGCAGGGCCTCCCCAGAAGATCTTAGGATCCTAGATGGTTCATAAGGAGAGATACGTTCGAACAGGTAAGCTGGTTGTGGGACCAAGCATTTGAACCGGAGCAGCAGCCATTTATTTATTTATTTATTTATTTAATACACTTGTATACCGCTAATATCTCAGCCTAAGTCGGCGACTCATTGCGGTTTACAACAATTAAAAACAATATACAATTTAAAACAACAACACATAGACAATACAAATTATTGGGCCACCAATAATATACCATGTATCTCGTCACTAAAATCACAGTCCAGAATTCGTCATCCATAATTAACCAGTCCTTAGTCCATAAAATTCGGTGATAACAAACTAACCGAATGCTTGTTTACACAACCATGTTTTTAATCTCTTCCGAAACACCATCAGCGAAGAGGCTGATCGTATCTCTATAGGGAGGGTGTTGGGAATTGGGAATAAGACTCAGTGTGAGATGTATGACAATGGACTGTTCCAGATACTAATTTTAAACCAGATTTATTTTAATCAAATATTTTAAATATAATATATTTTAATGATCTGTTTTTAAATGTGCTTATGATTGTGGTTAGCACTCAAATGAGTGCTTGTTGTGAAGCCACCCTGGGTCACCCCCCCCCCGGGGAGTGAGGAGGTCAGGGTACAAACGTACGAAATAAATAAATAAATAAATAGATTCCTTGAAAAGAAATTAGGCTGTGAGAAATTGTGGGAGCTGAAGTCCAAAACACCTGGAGGGCCAAAGTTTGCCCATGCATGATCTAGAATCTCCAAAGATAATGGGTGTGCCTGCTTCAGATCTTCTTTGGATGTTATGTAAATGTGCTTAAATAAGACACAGAGAGGCCAGCAGTGTATCATGGCTTGAGTATTAAACTGTGGGAAAAGCAAATCTCATCTGACCAAAACACCTCAGCAAGCGTGAGTCCAAAAGTGGCAGGCCAAAACCTGGGACCTCAATCCATGGCTAATACCAAATGAGAGTCTCCTCACTGGGCACACAGAAGGCTAGGTGATTTGGAAGGCGCTGAACAGACTGCGCTCTGGCACCACGAGATGCAGAGCCAACCTTAAGAAATGGATCCACAAAGTGGAGTCCACAACATGCAAGTGTGGAGAAAAGCAAACCACAGACCACTTATTATGATCAGAGTCTGAGCCCTGCCACATGCACAATGGAGGACCTTCTTAGAGCAACACCAGAGGCACTCCAAGTGGCCAGCTATGGGTCAAAGGACATTTAATAGAATGCCTAGTTTTCAAACTTTGTGGTTTTATTTCTGATGGTTTTAGGGACCTCTTTGGCAGAGAAGGCTGAAGATCTCCACCTGTCCTTCTCTTCCTTTTTGGAAACAGATGTTGAATCCTCCCACCAAAAGCCCTCCTCTTGCTGTGATTGGATGGCCTCTCAGTCAAGGGGAGAGCTGTTTCTGAGACTCCAAGCGGTGAGGGGAGAGCAGGTGTGCTCTCCCCTAAATCACTGTCAATTCCTCCCAAATCCCTCCAGTATTTTCTGTTGGTCATGAGGGTTTTGTGTGGGAAGATTGGCCCAATTCTATCATTGTGGGGTTCAGAATGCTCTTTGATTACAGGTAAACTATAAATCCCAGCAACTATAACTCCCAAATGTCAAGTCTATTTTCCCCAAACTCCACCAGTGTTCACATTTGGGCATACTGAGTATTTGTGCCAAGTCTGGTCTAGATCTATTATTGTTTGAGTCCACAGTGCTCTCTGGATGTAGGTGAACTACAACTCCAAAACCCAAGGTCAATACCTACCAAACCCTTCCAGTATTTGCTGTTGGTCATGGGAGTTCTGTGTGCCAAGTTTGGTTCAATTCCACCGTTGGTGGAGTTCAGAATGCACTTTGATTGTAGGTGAATTATAAATCCCAGCAACTACAACTACAAAATGACAAAATCAATATCCTCCCAACCCCACCATGTGGGTGTATTGGGTATATATTGGGTCCAGTGAATGAAAATACATCCTGCTTATTAGATATTTACATTAGGATTCCTAACAGTAACAAAATTAGTTATGAAGTAGTAATGAAAACAATTTGATGGTTGGGGGTCACCACCACATAAGGAACTGTATTAAGGGGTTGCGGCATTAGGAAGGCTGGGCTAGCATGAATGAAAAACCATTTGGAAATACACAATAACAAGTCCTATCGTGACATGAGATAGAAATATATTTTTTTAAAAAGCAACAATTAACAAAACTCACAAGACAATTCCCTGGCAATGAAAACACAAGTTCGTTGGACACAAAACGTTTGTATACATTTTTAATGCAAGCAGACATGGGCAAGTCTTTATAAAATTATTGTATTAAAGCTCTCCAGATATGACTTTTTTCTGGTTTATTTTACATTCAAATTTAAAATATTTTTGCACAAACTAAATGCCAAAATTCTGAAATGCTCAACAATATACACACTGGTGCAGTCAATTCATGCCAGATTTAAACATTTTCTTTTGGCAGATAGACAAAAGTTCTTTTGTTTTTCAGTTTTAAAGAAACTATAAAATGTGCACATAAAAGTCTTCCCTTTCAGATCATAATAAAATACTATTCTATACAAGATCTTAGTGAAAAAATCCAGCATTTACAAAATACCTTTTGAGAGAAATGAGCCATATTATTTTTTAATATAAAAACAGAATGAAATTATGAATAAAATGTATTAAACCAATTGTTTATATCTGAGAAAATACACATCTAGGAACTGGGCACCAAGGATACAGGAAACTAATACCGATGTGATCTTTCATATTAACAAACTAAAGCAAGACACAATGAAAAGATATACAATACATTGCTGGGATGAGAACCAAGCTGATGAAAACTTGACTGGCAGTTTTACTGAGATCACAAATCCCTTGGTATAAAATAATAATAAAATAACAATAAAATGATAGTTCTGCTGGTTCTGATTTTTAAAAAAATAAAACAGCCTTTTCACAATTCCATAGGACTAGTTCTAGTATACAGAGATCAATGTAAGTCTTGTGAAATCGGAGAAGTAAATGCTAGTATCTGGATTAAAAGTTGTTTAGACAGAGCAACCTAGAGATTCCTAGAGACAACATACGAAATCTATGAATAATCAAATTCTCAAATGTCTATACTGTAAATGTGGAGGGACAGCAGTAATATATTTTGAGTGATGCATCTAAACATGTTGGCACATTTAATGAGTTATTTTTCATAAAAATCTGTAGCCACATTAATAGCTAGAGATGAAAGTATTAGAGACCTTGATTTAACTGGTCACACAGAAATGAAATTGTATCAGACCCTAGCAGTGGAAAGACATCTTGACTTTTAAGATCTCTGTACCAATATCAAGCATGTGTTCTCCAGTAAACACCGAGTAAAACATTTGACTTATAGATGGACTGTGCCTATGATTCTGTGACATATGCTCTTTTCCCACATTGCAACGTGACAATCCCCTTTAAAAAAAGAATATTCTGCTTGCACATGAGCATCAATTTGAATGCAGGGAAAGGACCATACACTATAGTAGGCATCCTCAAACTGCAGCCCTCCAGCTGTTTGGGCCTTCAGCTCCCAGAATTCCTGACAATTGAACAAACTCGTTCAAGCTTCTGGGAGTTGGAGGCCCAAGCAGCTGGAGGGCTGCAGTTTGAAGATGCCTGCTCTATAGTCTGAAGAGTGATAATAGCATCTGGGTGTATGCATACATTCTTACATTCACAAACTTAAATTTAGGAAACTTTGAGATGTATACACCGAGACTCAAGATGGTACTCTTTAGACCATTATTTTCTTACATGGAAGTTAATTTGGAAAAAGCAAGGTGTGAGGCGTTGACAGCCGACACACCAAGATAGTGTGGCTAAAAAAAAAAAAAAAGATCCTGACATTTTGAACGCTGGTAATAGATTAACATATTTCAGTTTAAAATTCTACCTCTCTAAATATGGAACTAGCACAATGCCGCCTCATCGGAAGGTTCAAACTAACCTGTCTTACAACAGGCTAATCCCAGCTCACGTTCCCTATTAGTGGGTGAACAATCCAACACTTGGGGAATTCTGCTTCACAATGATAGGAAGAGCTGACATGAAGGATCAATAAGCAACGTCCCTATGAACGCTTGGCCGCCACAAACCAGTTATCTCTGTGGTAACTTTTCTTACGTTATACACTCAGACAGGACTTTGCTTTTTTGAGTATGAGACTGTGCTGCAGCATCTTCCAAACTCATAATGTAAAACTTAAAAAAATAATTGAGAAGGTTGCTTATATTAATGAAAACAAACTATTCAAGATCAGTGCTTTGGATACACCAGGTCAAATAATACTGTATATAAGTGGTTCTCAACCTGTGGCTCCCGAGGTGTTTTGGCCTACAACTCCCAGAAATCCCAGTTTAGGGATTTCTGGGAGTTGAAGGTCAAAAGATCTGGGGACCCATACATTGCAAACCATGGCTGTATATGCTTTTAGAGATCAACAAATGTACTAAAAGGTCTTCAAGAGGGATGTGTTCATTTTGGTTATTGGAGTAAGACCAGAACCACAGTAAAAGCTATCAAAGTCAGTCATTCACATTACTGCTTCCAATGAGTATGGGACACTTTTTAAAAACATACTTGCACTTAAGTAAAACATTCCTGAAGCATATCTATAATCTGGTTTCCTCATCAGTTGCTTGTTAATGGTGCCAGTTTGTTAAAAACAGTTAATTACAACAATTTTAGTCAGACAATGTCCAAGTCCTTAAGCTGCTTTGGCATAATTCCTAGAAACGAATCTTACACAAAAACAAAGCTGTCAGTATCACAACAGTGAAAATCTAATCATACTGTAATCGGTCAGAAGGATCTGAAAAATAGAGATAAAATGTTAGGTGACATATAAATTAAACCACTTAAAGAAGTTGTAGCAACATTAACAGGGAGACAAAATGTCAACAACCATGCTTCCAATTCTCAATTTAAACAAAGCAATTATCAACTAGGACTGCCATCTCCATATTATTGCTCATCTCCTGGGGCAGATCCATAAAAACACTTGTTAAACAGGCACAATAGATAAGGGTCATTTCTTTAACTCAATGTCTCATGGATATTAAACAGGTTAAATCACTCTGTTCAATGGACATAAATACTTATTGAAAATAATCAAAGTAAAAGGAGATATTCACGATACAAAACATTTTTCAAGTCATTATGCTTAAATGTTTAGTATTGTCTTTTAACGTAATGGAAAAATAAAGTCATCAGAATACTATGCTTATTCTGAAGATTTGGGTACACCAAAATTCACAGCTAATTTTCTTGGCTTTCTCTTGGTAGAAACATTTGGTGTTGATTTTTTACGAGATGCAACTGAGTTTGAAGAAGCCATTTTCTCTTGAAATAACATCCCTGACAGAGCAGTCTGCGGTGGAGATCTTAAAGAATCTGAAGAACGATCCTGGAGATGCAGTTTTGTACTGTCAGATACTAGATGCTCGTTCTTTAACTGTGTGTCTTGAGGAGAAGCTGGGAACTCCTTTGATTCAGAGTTCATCTTGTTTGCAGCCCTTTTTTTAGTTACCTTTGGAAAAAAAAGACTTACATTTACCATTCTAACATGTGAGAAGCATGGAAAGTTTTGTATATAGTGGGATGTGGACATCGCAAAACTTACCTGCAAAGGTATAAACTGGTTGTGTGTTCCAACTGGTACACCAGCCATAAAAGGCACGTTTCCAGGATACGGACTGGCATAATAAGGTTTGCCATGAACCGGCAGTGGAGTTCCCCATGGCATGGAGCCAAACGCATGAGCGGGTGAAGGGAACATATTAGCTGTGAAAATAATTCGCTAGTTTCAGATTATGATACTAACTGGAAAAAATAGCTTTCTTCTCCCACCTTCTCAGATTCAGCTCTGGAGAAATCTGATTTGATCTTTGCCACAAAACATTTTGTATTAATGTGACTGCAAAGTGCAGACTTCATAAAATTACAGAAAAGTTGGGAGAGACCCCAAGGGCCATCTAGTCTAGTGTTTCTCAATGGGGGGAGGGGGTGTTGGGGCCCCTGGGGGAGGTCACGAGGAGGATTCAGAGGGGTCACCAAAGACCATACAAAAACATGTATTTCTCATGGTCTTAGGAATCCCTTTGGCAGAGAATGCTGAAGATCTCTGCCTCTCTTTCTCTTCCTTTTTGGAAACAGACAGCGAATCCTCTCACCAAAAGCCCTCCTCTGCTGTGATTGGCCAGCCTCTTAGCCAAGGGGGGGGGGTGCTTCTGAGACTCCAAGTGGGGAGGGGACAGTAGGCGTGCATGGCAGCATGGTGTGTATGTGTGGGTGGGTGAGGGAGAGCGTGCAAGGCTGGAGACAGCCTCATGTCAGCAAGTCCCTTTAAGACATGGGGGTTTGTGTGGGAAGTTTGGCCCAATTCTATTGTTGGTGGGGTCCAGAATGCTCTTTGATTGTAGGTGAACTATACATCTCAAATGACAACATCACACACAGCCCTCAACTCCACCAGTATTCAATTTTGGGTGTATCAGGTATTTGTGCCAAATTTGGTCCAGTGAATGAAAATACTTCCTGCATATCAGATATTCACATTACAGTTCATAACAGTAGCTAATGATAGTTATGAAGTAGCAACGGAAATAATATTATGGTTGGGGGTCACCATAATATGAGGAACTGTATTAAGGGGTCACAGCATTAGGAAAGTTGTGAAACACTGATCTAGTCCAACCCCATTCTGCTATGCAGGAAGAGCACAATCAAAGCAACCCCAAACAGATGGCCATCCGACCTCAGTTTAAAAGCTTCCAGATAAGGATCCTCCATCACACTCCGAGATAGTGAGACATATAAATGTTCTTATAGTTTACAAGAGGGACCAGGACCCTTCTTTTGGTTGAGGTCCACATGCTCTTAGGTATTTCTTGCTGGGAAAAGCATGCCGCCAAGCAAAACCATGTATCTCCCCCTTTCTGTCATTTCCTTGCAATGCATCTTTCTGCCAGCCCCCTTTTTTCTTCTTCCCTCCAAGTAAAGTCTCATGTTATCACATTTTTTACATTGATTCAAATTGAGCACTTTTAGACTGATGTCTGCATACAGGACTAGAACCAGAGCGCCCCCCCCCCCCCAATGCACATAAACACTAAAATAAGATGAAAGACCTACCACTGTGCTGGGTGAAGACTGGAGGAATAGATCCAGGTGGCACAAGAGGTCCCACAGGTGCATAATTTGGAAATACAGGTGCTTGTGGCAGTGGATAGTTCATCCCAATCGTGCTCTGCATAAAAGAAGGAATTATTATTGTAAATGCCTAATGAAGGAAGAAAGACATTCCTGGGTTTGGTAAAGCATTGTGACGACTGAACTCACCAACTGTTGTAAAGCAAACAATGCAGCATTCTCCTTGGCTTCGTTTTCAGAATGGCACTGAGGTCCATGTACTAATAAGCCGTTTGACAATTTTACTTGACAAACTGTCATTGTCTATGGAATATAAACAAGTTGATGTTGACAATGTTTTATACAAACTGCTACAGAAAAAGAAAAACTTAAAAACACACACATTAGTAATCTCTTTGTTTCTTCCCAAAGATTACTCAAGGATCAGCAGTTTATCACATTACATATAAAAGACGACATCTAATGTCATGAGAAAATTGACTATCATTCATGTAATGGGACTTCCCATTTTTCCTCCTCCCTGGTTATGCTTCATGTACACACCATAGATCTACTCGAGAGACTTCTCCAGCCCTATAGAACAGAACTAAGGCCACATTTTTGTATAAGATGAGATCTCTTCTATTAGAAGTGTCTATCCTAGTTGCATGCAGACATTACTAAGTACAACTTAATTGTGGGGCAAGTAGGCTTATTAACAAAAGACCCTCTTTGTGAATGTACAGCACAGTAACTTATTAGCAGCAACATGACCCAGCACCAGTAGCCAAAAGTGATAAAAGGAACAAAAACACATAGACCAATGTTATATCTTCCATAGGAGGCTTTTCTATGTAGTAAAATAATATGGTTGCACTATTTACAAGAACAAGGTTTCCATAACACAAATAAAGTTCTTTACAATTCCTTCTTTGCCTCCATGGTGGGCTTCTTTCTCATGCAGATAAACAGCTTTGCTCTCACACAGCCTCCCCTCACAGAAAAGTTACGCAGGAGCTTCACACTGTAGCTTTACACACAGCAGGCTTCACACAGGAGCTGGAGTTTCTCTCACAATGAGGCATTCTCTTACACTGAGGCCTATTGAGGCCTACTAAGACAGGCCTTTCTCGCACTGAGGCCTTCTCATACTGAGACCTCTCTTACACTGTGGTGAACTAACACTGAGGCCTTTCTCCCACTGAAGCTTCTCTTTGAGGGCTACTAAGCTACAGGCACACCTGCTTATATAGAACTACAGCCTTTCCTGAGTCACTGCATCCATTTAACCCTTTCAGTGCTTGACTCATGTTTTTGTAATTAAAAATATCTAGTTAATTTTTAATATTTCTGACATGAAAAGATACTCTAGTCCAATGCAGAGGGCACCCAACTTTTTCAGGCCTGAGAGTTGGATGTGAGTCATGCTGAGACATATATCTGTGCATATCAAATGTAACTCCTCCTGATTTGTATGTAAACAATGGGGGAATATAATATCTACAAAGTTTATGAAACTCATGTAATTTGTCCCAGTATTTATTACACTGGCCAACACACATTTTGGTGCTGCAAATGTTAGCCTCGTTTCTGGATATATTTGAGCTGCTGATTCCAAAAATGGCAACAGTTGCCCCCTATTGGCTCTAGTTTTGAGATACAGACCATATGCCATTTACTAGTCTTCAGCTGCTCACCCATAAAAATCATTATAACCATATCTAAGAAACAACAGCTGATATGATCTATCCAATGCAATTTGCTGGGAGTGTCCCAAATAGCCCCAGGAAAGACCTAAAAATACGATGCCAAGCTTTTTTTTTGTTGGAACGTGTTATATGTTTAAAGAACTAAGCTTGTGGTCTTCTGAGCAATGAATCAAATATTACCTTCTGGGTCATAGTAACTAATTCACTTTTCAGCAGAACCTATCATTTACAATTGAGCTTACCTGTGGGGTTCTAAGAAATGAAAAATCTGGTGGCAGCATTCCAAAAAGAGAACAAAGGCGAGACAGCTCAGATACTGGTGTGGACAATGGGTTTGGTGGTCCAAGAGGAGGGTGGCCTCCAGTTTCCATGCCTTGAGTGTTCGGAAACCCTCCTGCACTGGGGGATTTGCTCATGAAAGCGGCTGTCAATGAAGAAGAGCATCAGTGTTTGAAAAGAGTAGCTCAACTTACTTGAATGTCAGAGGTTGAAAAACATTACATAAAAAAGCTAACATTACTTTTAAATATGCACACCAAGTAATTCCAATATTTTAATTACCTACCCATCTTTTTTGGGTGCCTGTGTTGTGAGGCAGATCCATAAGGATCTTGTCTTCCAGGAGAAGCAGAAACTTCTTTCACTGCGGTCTTCCCTTCAGTTGTGTCAGAAGCATCTATCTTCAAAATTTCTTTGAGCATCTGTGTCCCTTTCTGAAAAAGGCATCGAAAGTAAAGAGCTACAGACACAGTGAAAATTGAGAGTATTATCATACTAATCTGTCTATGCATGATGTTCCCCTTCAGTTTAAAAAAGAAACCAAGGAGACTAGCTCTTAATTCTGTAAGTAAAACAGCACCATATACAAACCATAGCAAAAGACTGTGGAGACAAGTGCTCTTCATTTGCTGGCTCCTCAGAGTAAGATGATTTTACTTCCTTTTCTTTGAAGATTTTCAAAGATGCCAAGATGTCTTCAAGTTCAGATCCATTCTAAGGGGTACATATTGATAGATACTAATTGGAAGTACACCATCAAGAAAAAAATTAGGTATGACCAAATTTCATCAAAAATTAACAGAACTGATCTGGTGGTCTTAATACCCATTCACTCTCAAGTAATATGGCTCATATTACTTAAAAGGTTTTTCCCAATCACAGTATTTAGTACAGTTTTCTCCACGTAAATTCTTTAACATATTTACTTTGTTGGAGAGACAGTGAACGTGATTCACATGCGTTCTACTATGCATATATACACAGCACAGCTTCTTGCATTGCAGTATTAAAGATAACTCTATTTACAAAAGTGTAGTGTGTGTGTGTAATGTCCAATAATATATTAATTTATTTACTCATTTTTGTATTTCCTTTACCATATATACTTGAGTATAAGCCGACCCAAATATAAGCCGAGGCACCTAATTTTACCACAAAAATACTGGGAAAACGTATTGACTCAAGTATAAGCTGAGGGTAGGAAATGCAGAAATAAAAATAGATGCCAATACAATTACATTAATTTTGGCATCCATAGGTTAAATGTTTTTGAATATTTACATACAAATGTAATTTAAAATAAGACTGTCCAACTCTGATTAAACCATTATTCTAACCTCCTTCAATGTAAATGTGCTTACGTATATTGCCAATAATAATGAGAGAAAAATAAATAAATGTAATAATAATAATAATAGAGTGAACTAATGTAAATCCAATAATAACAATAGAGTAAAATAAATGCAATAATAATAGAGTAAAATAATAAATGTAATAACAATAGAGTAAAATAATAAATGTAGTAATAATAAAGGAGTAAATAATAAATGTAACAACAGCAACAACAACAACAACAACAACAACAGAGTAAAATAATAAATAACTCTGACTCGACTACAAGCCGAAAAGGGCTTTTTCAGCCCAAAAAAGGGCCGAAAAACTCAGCTTATACAGCAGTGGTTCTCAACCTGGGGTCCCCAGATGTTTTTGGTCTTCAACTCCCAGAAATCCTAACAGCTGGTAAACTGGCTGGGATTTCTGGGAGTTGTAGGTTGAGAACCACTGTTGTACAGTATATCCTGCTTTCTCCCATCATGAAATTCAAGACAGCATGGCCTTGCAGTTAAAAGTTTCTTTGAGAATCTAATGGCTTACAGTTTAAAAACATGGAAGAAGGTTCATAATCACATTCAGAACTGTATGGAAGATCCTGCCATCAATCACTACAACATTCTCCAACTCCTCTTCAGAAGCATCACATTATGCTCATAAACAAAATGTCAAATCCGGAGTGAGATGCAATCCCATATTTAAAAAACCTCCGTGAAATAAACAAAAGCTTTCAGTGATTAATATGTAATACTCCTACTGCATCCCCCCCCCCCCAATATTCTAAAGGACATGTGTCCTACCTTCTCTGTTACACTGGGATCATCAACTTCCAACTTTTGTTCTACTGGGATATTTGGACTTTCGTTCCTCTTCAAAAGCTTCACATACTTGTTAGCACCTGCAACATTCTGAAATAGATTAGGTTAGATTAAATGTAAAACATAAAAAAGCAAACAGTATTTAAAAATCTGATTCTTTTATGTTGGAGCAGAAGTATGACAAGGTAGTTTTAATGCGATGACTATTATAAGTAGTTATAAACAAGATGCTAAATGCAAAACCAACTTTAAAACTTTCATTTTGTTGTGTGCCTTCAAATCGGTTTTACAAGGTTTTCTTGGCAAGATTCTTCCACAGAGGAGTTGCTTCTAAGGCCGAAAAACTGTGATTCGCCCAATATCGTCTAGTGCAGTGGTTCTCAACCTGGGGTCCCCAGATGTTTTTGGCCTACAATTCCCAGAAATCCCAGCTAGTTCACCAGCTGTTAGGATTTCTGAGAGTTGAAGGCCAAACACATCTGGGGACCCCAAGTTGAGAACTACTGGTCCACTGTCAAGCAGGGATTCGAACCCTGATCTCCCAATGTTGTAGTTCAATCCTCAATGGACTGCACTACCTGTTTCATTTTCATTAGCCAGATCTATACAACTCCTATTCCAGGTACTTAAATAGGCCATATCCCTGAAGCTGCAATTTTTAATATACTGATCTGTTAGAAACATTCATTCTGTCATTCTAACTGGGATCTTGAAAGCCATTTACCCACCTCAACCATACCCCAAATCTAAGCATGTACTTTAGAAACAGCTAAATGGTTTCTTATGTCCAAGTTTTATTGTTGTCATTTTGTTTCCTTTGTATAGTTTCTTACCGTATGACATATTATCAAATTGCTCTCAAAAGTGTAATGCTACAGGGCAAGAAACTGGAGAAAGGAGACTGATCCTTAAGAAATGCCAATGTAGTATACAGTATCACTTCATGATTGTTTGGATCTTGTTTCAAGATTCATGAGAAGTGGCAGCATCACTGTGAGTCATTTAAGAAATGGTTCTGAGAATCAAACTAACCACCAAAATTGTCCACATCCACAAACATGTGGACAATTTCAACAGAAAGGAAAAAAACATAAAAATAAACAAAATCTGGCTACCAGCATTAAAAATAAATAAATAAAGAACAACACTAAAAACAGTGGACTTCCAGACATGAAACTATTAGGGCCAGCTAATCAACTCCCAACAAAGGAGTCTTCCAGGCAGGAAGCAGCCAAACCTTGAAGCTAAAAGGCTATTCAATGCTAATCAAGGTGATGAACTGCAACGTTCACACTTGCCTCAAGCAGGCAAGAGTTCTTTCTCCACCCAGGACATTCCACAGATATTTAAACCCCACTTGCCTTATTTACAACAAACCTCACAACCTCTAAGGATGCCTGCCATAGATGTGGGAGAAATGTCAGGAGATAATGCTTCTGGAATATCCCATACAGCAAGGAAAACTCACAGCAACCTAGTTATTCTGACCATGAGAGCCTCTGACAACACATTAACCACCAAAATTATGCATTAAGAAGGTTTTGAATAAATGTATTCTTCCATTAATAGAAAAGTAACAAAATGGTCCAGGATAGAAATTAATAGGGGTATATTTATCAGAGTTTACATACAGTTATAATTACCTGTTTATTTGATACTTTGTGTGTTTGACCTTCATTTCTTGGATCTTTAGATTCTTCTTTGGCTACAAATACAAAATTCATTATCTCACTCATTGCATCAGAGTTAAAAAGACTTCTAAAGCAACCATATAACACTATGTAACAAAATCTGAAGAATTTTTCCCCTGGTTTGAAAGTTTTATTTTCTTTTTAATTGTGTAGTACTTGCTTTGAAAGTAGTTGAATTGGTTAGGACTCAATGAGAAAACTATAGCAAAATGTGTGGCAGGATGTCCCACAAAACCCAAGTTTTGCAGTTTAATAAACTTTTCCCACATTTTAATGATAGAATCAATTAGGAAAAGACATTTATAACTCAGAGGAGCCCCCGGTGGCACAGTGGGTTAAACCCCTGTGCTGGCAGGACTGAAGACCGACAGGTTGCGGGTTCAAATCCGGAGAGAGGCGGATGAGCTCGCTCTATCAACTCCAGCTCCTCATGTGGGGACATGAGAGAAGCCTCCCACAAGGATGATAAAAACATCAAATCATCCGGGAGTCCCCTGGGCAACGTCCTTGCAGACGGCCAATTCTCTCACACCAGAAGCGACTTGCAGTTTCTCAAGTCACTCCTGACACGACAAAAAATAAATAAATGTATAACTCAGGAACAAAAATAGTATTACATAGTGTAATTCCTTTGATAAACAGCTTCACTGGCTACTAGTGTATTTCTGAGTACAATTCAAAGCATTAGACATGACTGAAGGACTGTATCTCTCCATCTTCCCAGAGCTCTAAGATATTTGGGGGAAGGCTTTCTTTTGGTACCAGCATCATCACACATTTCGTGAGGACACAAGAGAGAGAGAGAGAAAGAGAGACTTTTGAGTATCTACTTCCACTCTCTTGAAAGCCATGGAGCTGGTTTTTAATACTGTCAGTTTTATTTATTTATTTATTTATTTATTTATTTACTTCATTTGTTGACCGCCGCTCTCAGCCCTGGGGCGACTCGCGGCGGTGTACAACATATAAAAACAGTCTACAAAACATACCATAAATCAACAATTAAATTACACATTAATCTAAATCACAGTAATAAATCCGCGCCATCACAACATAGAGAACATAGCCAATCTCATAATCCAAGGTCCATTCCAGATGTCATTACCAGATTCGTGTGGGTCTCAATCAAATGCCTTCCCGAATAGCCAGGTTTTTAGGCCCCTACGGAAGGCCATAAGGGAGGGCGCCTGTCTAATGTCAGCAGGGAGGGCGTTCCACAGCCGAGGGGCCACCACCGAGAAGGCCCTCTCTCTCGTCCCCGCCAGACGTGCCTGCGAGGCAGGCGGGACCGAGAGAAGAGCCTCCCCGGAAGATCTCAAGGCCCTCGTGGGCTCATAGGCCGAGATGCGGTCTGCAAGGTATTTTGGGCCGGAACCGTTTAGGGCTTTGTAGGCTAACACCAGCACCTTAAATTGGGCCCGGTAGCGGATCGGCAGCCAGTGGAGCTGGGACAGAGGAGTAGTATGCTCCCTGTACCCCGCTCCTGTTAGTAATCTGGCTGCCGCACGTTGGAATAGTTGAAGCTTCCAGGCCGTCTTCAAGGGCAGCCCCACGTAGAGAGCGTTGCAGTAGTCGAGACGGGATGTGACCAGAGCATGTACCACCGTGGCCAAGTCAGACTTCCCAAGATACGGGCGCAGCTGGCGCACAAGCCGAAGCTGTGCAAATGCTCCCCTGGTCACCCCTGAAACCTGGGGATCCAGGCTCAAGGATGAGTCCAGGGTCACACCCAAGCTGCGAACCTGCGCCTTCAAGGGGAGTGCGACCCCGTCCAGCTCAGGCTGTAACCCTATACCCTGTTCGGCCTTGCGACTGACCAGGAGTACCTCTGTCTTGTCTGGATTTAATTTCAGTTTGTTCGCCCTCATCCAGACCATTACAGCGGCCAGGCACCGGTTCAGGACCTCGACAGCCTCCTTAGTAGCAGGTGGAAAGGAGTGACAGAGTTGGACATCATCTGCGTACAGATGACACTGCACCCCGAAACTCCGGATGATCTCACCCAGCGGCTTCATGTAGATATTAAACAGCATGGGGGACAGTATAGAACCCTGTGGAACCCCACAGGTCAAAGGCTGTGGTGTTGAACAGGAGTCCCCCAATAACACCTTCTGGTACGACCCTCCAGAAATGACTGGAGCCACTGCAGAGCAGTGCCCCCAAGACCCATTTCCGCAAGGCGCCCCAGAAGGATACCGTGGTCGACGGTATCGAAGGCCGCTGAGAGGTCCAGGAGCACCAACAGGGACACACTCCCCCTGTCTAGCTCCCGGCGCAGCTCATCCACTAAGGCGACCAAGACCGTCTCGGTACCATGTCCCGGTCTGAAACCAGACTGTGCCGGATCCAGAATATCCGTGTCTCTCAAGAATACCTGGAGTTGTGAGGCCACCACGCTTTCCATGACTTTGCCCAAAAAGGGGAGATTGGAAACAGGCCGAAAGTTGTCAAATTTAGTGGGGTCCAGTGATGGTTTCTTCAACAGCGGTTTTATAATTGCTTGTTTTAAGCACGCTGGAATCTTGCCTTCCCGAAGGGAGGCATTAACCACCACCGTTACCCACTCAGCCAATCCCCCTCTGGCCTCTTCAGAAGCCAGGATGGACAGGGGTCTAGGATGGACGTGGTAGGCCATTCCTCCAAGTATCTTGTCCACATCCTCGGGTTTCACAAACTGAAAAGAATCCAACAAAATAGGACAAGCAGGTGCTCGTGTCACATCCACAGAGACTGCCTTTAACATGGCGTCCAGCTCAGAACGGATCAAAGCGACTTTGTCCGCAAAGAACCGAGCAAATGCTTCACAGCGCGTGACCGAATTGTCAGGGCTCCCGCCTGAGGTGGCGCGAGTTAAAAGACCTCTGACAATCCGAAACAACTCCGCCGGACGGTTCTTTGCGGACGCAATAGTGGCTGCAAAGAAAGTTTTCTTTGCGGCTTTTATTGCCGCGGCGTATGCCCTTAAAAAGGACACAAACCATGTTCGATTTGGCTCGCTTGGGTCTGAACGCCACACGCTCTCCAGTTCCCTCTTCCTTCGCTTCATCACTGCCAGCTCCTCAGTAAACCAAGGAGCTGGTTTAGCTCGGTTACTTGAGAGGGGACGTTCCGGAGCGATCCTGTCAATTGCCCTGGTCATCCCCCCATTCCAGAGAGCGACCAAGGCCTCGACATGGTCACCTACCGAGGTGGCGGGAAAATCCCCAAGAGCCGTCAGGAATCCGTTCGGATCCATAAGCCTCCTGGGGCGGACCATCTTAATGGGTCCTCCACCCTTGCAGAGGTTAGGGGATGCAGTGAGCCTAAATCTGATCAAGAAGTGGTCAGTCCATGGCAACGGAGAGATAGACAACTCCTCCACACCGCCACCCTGCTCCCATCCCTGACAGAAAACCAAGTCCAATGTGTGTCCAGCACAATGGGTGGGGCCAGATATTTGTTGGGACAGCCCCATGGTTGCCATGGCCGACATGAAGTCCTGAGCCGCTCCTGTGAGGGTCGCCTCGGCATGGATATTGAAGTCCCCCAGCACCAAGAGCCGTTGAGACTCCAACGCCAGGCTCGAGACTACCCCCGCTAGCTCAGGTAGGGAGACTGTAGTGCAGCGAGGTGGACGGTACACTAGCAGAATCCCTATTCTGTCCCGGTCACCCACCCTCAGGTGGACGCATTCAAAATTTGTGGTCTGCGGGATGGGGCTCCTGGTTAGATGGATGGAATCTCTATAGACCACTGCGACCCCGCCTCCCCGTCCTCCGGATCTCGGTTGGTGCTGTACGGAGAACCTGGAGGACAAAGCTGGGTCAGATTCACCCCCCCAGCTTCGTCCAACCAGGTCTCCGTAATGCACGCCAGATCTGCCCGCTCGTCCAGGATTAAATCCTGGATGAAGGTCGTTTTTCCGTTGACAGATCTGGCGTTCAACAGCACCACCTTCAATCCAGAGGGCCCGCTCACCTGGTTACACCAATTTACCTTGGGAGACCGATTTGGGGTTATTAATTTGGATAAACGGTCCGAATTAAGCCGAATTCGAGGTCTCCTTTTTCCGCATCTCCTCCTTCCCACCACGACCTCTATGGGGGCCCCTCGGCTAGTGGAACACCTCCCCCCCTCCATGCCGCGGTCTCTGATCAGGGTCTTAATATCTGTTTCATTAGATGTCTGATTTGTTGGTCCCTGCCAGCTCCCTTGCTTCCCCTCCTCCCCCCTCCCCAGCTCATTATTGTACACAGGCTCCAGCCCACTCCCTCCTCCGTCCCTTCCAGTGGTCGCTAAAAGCAGGAACAGCACAAATAGGGGGATGGGGGACCACATGGATAACAATAATCCCGATGATGTTAAGTGGATCAGCCACAACAATTAACAGTTAGAGATTAATAAAGTGCGGAGTTATAAAGTGCAACACAGTCGGAAGTATATCTGCGTATCGTTGAGCAGATTTCTAAAGTGCAAAGTTCACAAATGCAGCAGTGCCCAGATCTGGCTCCCAACGCTAGCTAAAGTGCGGCATAGAGGGTAGAGGGAGGGAATATTGTAAAACAATATTTAATATTGTTTTACTATGTATTGTTGTCTTTTTTGTCTAAATGCACTTAATTGTTTTTGCTTTTGTATTGTATTGATGGCATCGAATTGTGCCAATATGTAGACCGCCCTGAGTCACCTGCGGGCTGATATGGGCGGTATACAAGTGATGTAAATAAATAAAATAAATAAATAATGAAGGAAGATCAAAATATTTGAATAAATATACTTACATTGGGCTGCTGTGAGTTTTCCGGACTATATGGCCATGTTCCAGAAGCATTCTCTCCTGATGTTTTGCCCACATCTATGGAAGACATCCTCAGATGTGGGCGAAATGTCAGGAGAGAATGCTTCTGGAACATGGCCATACAGCCCGGAAAACTCACAGTGATCCAGTAATTCCTGCCATGAAAGCCTTTAACAACACATTATACTTACATTTCTTAAACGATTCTTGTTTTCTTTGGTGACCTCTGAAGCTACTTTCATTAAAGCCTGGTTTGCAGAACTGGCCACTGGTATTCAGCTTTATAGACTGAGGTAACATTCCACCCTATGGAAAGAGATTTGTTTTAGTACAAAATCTTGCATTCCGTGTCACTTCCACTTCACATTCACCTCACAATGGAAACTAACCTTTTCGTGCTTATTTTGTTGAGTAGGGTGAGGCTTCCCAGAGCTCTGCAAAGTTTGCCAAATGCTGCAAAATTCATCATCTTGTTTATTCTGAGGTTGTTGGAAAAGAAAAATAACACCGATTCATGTAAGCAAGATCTGTTTTGTATTAATTTCAACAAACGAGAGAAAAAGTGAGATTGTGCCTTCATGTAGTAACAGACTGTGTTAAGAAATTAATTAAAACAGTGCCGGCCAGGTAACATCCACTTAGATAGCTTAATGGCTTTTCCACTGACTTTTTTCAAGGGGTATTGCTATACATTATTTTCATTCTTTATTTTTGAACCATAATGGCCTATAACTAAATTAACTCACACATAAAAAGGTTCTACTTGACAAGACCATTCAAAACTCTTATCTTAAAACTTCTATTATTTCTCTCTTTTCAAAGACCCGAGAACCTCAATTCGTCTCCAAATACACAAGATCCTCCATTCTCTCTCTCTCTTTCAAATATCCAAAGGTTACATGTAGTACCTGGGTTAGAAGTAGCTGTTACTGTTGTTGTATCATTTCTAGGCTTTCAGAATTTAGTGGAAAGCATTTTCTTGTCCACAGAACATTTAGCTTCTATTTTAAAGTATCCATCATTTTTGAATTAACCCAATATGGGATTAATATTTTTTTTAAAAAAAAAATTCAACTGGCCTTACTCCATTCTTTAGGTTATGAAGTTACATGCAAGTCCAAGTAATATTTATTTATTTCTTATTTACAGTGTTTATATTCCGCCCTTCTCACTCCGAAGAGGACTCAGGGCAGATCACAGAATACATATATGGCAAACATTCAGTGCTGATTATACAATGACAAGACAGACAACAGATAGAGGTATATATAGGCTTTCCCCATCTTTCGGCATCTTTGGAGGCTGTGCTTGGTTCTGGCCACAGGGAGTGTTGTTGTTCCACTTCCTTGCTGAAGAGCTTTCTTTGTTCATAAACTTCCTCCTTTTTCTGATCAAAGCACTGTGTCTAAAATGCCTCACTGCCTTAATGTGGTTCTTATTTATCTACTTGCATTTGTTTTCGAACTGCTAGATAGGCAAAAGCTGGGCTAAAGGTGAGGTGTGCTCACCCTGATCTGGGCTTCAAACAGTCAACCTTCCGGTTAGCAAGATTTATTGCAGCATGGTGATTAACCTACTGTGCTAAAGCTCGGCCCAACTAAAATTAATGGGTAAATTTAGTTGGTGACGACCAACTTAACTTTTACTGATTTCAGTGGATCTATTCTAGGCATCAATATCTGAAGTATCAATATGACTGTGAAGCCACTCCGAGTCCCTTTGGAGAGATAGGACGGACTACAAATAAAGTATTATTATTATTATTGTTAGCCACCTTGAGTCCCCATGAGGAGAAAGGAAGGGTATAAAGATGATGATGATGATGATAATAATAATAATAATCATAATCATAATAACAGCCCTAGCAGTAAATATGAAAGATGCACTCATTTAATGTATATAGATATGCAGTGATACATGGGGGAAATCAAGACCACCTTGATTATTACATTGATAAGTGATTTTGTTCAGTATTACTTTTGCTTACTGTTACTGGCTGTGATCTTTCTTTTACGCTTTTCTGTTTGTTATAATATTTACAGATATCTTAATGTTGCATTTTCACTTTATCACACAATTTTCCGTTTTGGCTGTTCTCTTTAAGGCACAGAAAAATGAGGTAAATTATAACAATAACAATAAATAAAATTTAATACAGGTAGATACACCAAGGTTTTTTTAAAAACTTCTGTAGGAAACTCCTAAGTTCTTTCTCATCCAAATGCAATTCAATTTACTTCCATACACTAAGAAAATAAACAACATGCAACTTACTTTATATTTTTCATTGCCACCTGAATACGCTCCTTTCTGGAGGGACCCAGAATCGCCTTGGTTTTCAACCTTGAGACTGTTGTGCTGCCTTCCATTCAGTTGCTAGAGAACAGAATAAGATGGAATAACTTCTCAAGTCTCTTCTTGGTCTTTAAATTATTCCTTACTCAGCTAAGAACCTTTCTGGGCAACACATCGATATGCCAAATAAACATGGCCAGTGTTTATTTATTAGTTATTGAATCAAATTAAATAATTGAGAAGAATATCTATTTGCTTTACATACAATTTGCTCCCTTTCATCTGCCATAATTATACTGGGACATTCTAATGCATATCTGCTCAAGTCTGCTCTAGTTGATTAGCATTCATCCTGTCTAAACTTTACCATGTAAAACTGGATTTAGCATCCATGGGGATCTACTTTTAGCAACAGCTTCATTTTCAGTGACATAATTTCAGGAATAACTAAATATGAACTTACTCGAGTTGGAACAAAGAGGGAACGAGGGGAATGATTCAGACCTCCTAGATGTGCTTTTTGTGAAGATACAGAAAATGATTCAGGTGAATATGAGCTGTAGGGACTCACAGCTGGCTGAGGTTTGACTATGGCAGTTAGCTTCTGATTTCCTGTTTCAGACCGATTGCCATAAGAAAGGTTAATTAAGGCACTAGATGGCATGCGATATCCTCTGGCAGGTGAACTCCTACAAGAAGAAATAAAGCTGATGAAAGTTGGTTTATTTATGCCAATGCAAAATAGCAAAACATGAAAATGTTAGAAAATGAACCTGAGAATAATGCACACATAACTTTAACCTAAGAAACCCGACTTTAGACCCTATCTTCATGAGGAACACTGGCTGATCTACTGTAGGTATTCTTGACCTCAATTTCCAATATATAAATTGAAAATTTATCATTTTTTAAAGTGTTGGGGTAGGCAGATTAATGAAATATGAATGGTAAAGAAGTTTGCTTACAATACATTTTCCTATTCAATGTTTCCACTTTCCATAGGGCCTACATAAATGTACGAAAAAGATGGAAATGATGTAGCTCTGTCCAACAAACCTTATTGTCAATCCACCATGAAACTCTTCATCAAACAGGACTTCATACAGCACATCAGACTCTCTGCTGGCTGAAAAGAAATATGGACAATAAGCAACCACTATTTCACACAAATGAAGATATCACAGAAAAATAATTTCTTTATTCAAATACTAACATATTAACTTGCAGGATTTATGCTAGTCAGAGCTACATAGGGGATTGGAAATGCCATTTAGGAGCTGACACATCCTGCATTTCAAACATTATTTAGCTCAGAGGTGTCAAACATGTGCCCTCCCCGTCCCTCATGATGTTTGGCCCTCCAACTCCCAGAAGCCCTGGCCAGGTTGCCCAAGGGCCAAGAATTCTGGGAGCTGAACACCTGGAGGACCACAAGCTCATTGTCTTCCTGGTCAACACAGCAGCTGGGATCATTTCTATCTATGCCCACACCTTACAGAATACTAAGAATTGGAGCACAATTATCTATCTGTCTGTCTGTCTGTCTGTCTGTCTGTCTATCTGTCTATCTATCTATCTATCTATCTATCTATCTATCTTTATTTGGATGCACATGGGGCTTGTTCATAGTGCCTGCTGCATATCTCTTAAATTTGGGACGAGAGTGGGAAAAATCTGGAAAACAATTCCTTGAACCTTAGAGGAGAATGAATTAACCAAAAACATAGATCAGGTCTGGGAGTTGGGACTACTTGCTCAGGACCAAAAAAATCATAGATACTTCTGAATGGAGAGCATTCCTTGTTGCACCATCTCTTCTTGAATAAACTCCCAAGAATAGCTACTTGTTTCCTGAGGGTGATGGGTTGAAGAGTGAAAAAAATGTCAGGGACCTGCAGCCTTTTGAGACTGAGCTCCTGCTATGTTGCCATCAGCACTGACATCAGCACACTCATCCCTGGGGCATATGGAGGCCTGGAATGCTCCTGCTTGGGTACAAGCCTAGAAAGACGGCACAAAGTCATATGCACCACCACTTAAGCTGCTGATGGGTTTAACTGTAGTGTAGGCAAGAATACAGTAGGTCAATGGATGAGGGTTGGGCGTAGATCTTGTCAGGAGTTTCACAGGATCTTTAGTACTCTTTTCTAGGAGAGAATTTTGAACATGCAGGAATGCACAATACCCAGTATGACTATTCCTAGATCCCTCCAACAAAAGTATTGGATGGGGATTTTACTCCTGCATGCCTGGATAGCAAGCTGACTAAAAGAGAAAAAAGGTCCGAAGCAAATTCCTGAAGAGAAATGAAAAGTTTGCTGGCAAATGTTTTAAAAAGCAGAGCTATGACTAGAAGTGGGGCTCTCCCTAAGGATGACATTTTTTTCTGCATTGGCCATGGCTTTTGCCAGAGAAAATAGTTTATTTTTCTATTTACTTCATTCTCTGCTGCCTAAAAGAACTGGCACATGCCAATAGCACCACAAAAATAAGTTAACATTGCTACTCATATAAGATAAGCAAACATGGGTTTAGATAACAACAGTTTGGATCCCAAGGTTCATGAAGAAAATGCAAAATTGTGGAATGCAATTAATTCTATGTAAACAAAATGTACTTGATTTTGGACAATTCTCCTGTCTCTCTACAGTAGGGGGGAAAACTTCTGAGAATAGGAACATTTTTGCCTTCCCTATACTTTTGAGGATATACTTCAGATCGTTTCAAGGCTTAAAACATACTGGGAGGGAGTGCTACAATTTAAGAGTACATTCCTCCCTTCTCTCTAAGATTTGTGCTGCTGTGATTTGCTGTTTTGCAGACAGATATGTTAGGAGATGGGGGAAAGTAGGAACTGGAAGTGATCCTATGAGGCAGCACTGAGCAGTACCACATGGGTCTCGCAGGCTGTATTTTAATCATTCCTACATACAAACCATACACAACTGCTCCTGCTATTCAGAATTGTTTCAACTCTCCTGAAGGCCCTCATGACATGCAGTGGAAAAAAGGAACTGAAAAATCCCTGCTGCACAGATTAATTTAATCCTTCAAGACATTACATTAAATGTTTTTAAAATAAAGCATTCTCGTGTTCCAGTTATATTAAGCTACTTACACAGTATTTTAAAAACAAAGAGACTATCCATAAGCCAAAGACAAGTAATAACCTCCTTTAATTCCTATAATGGTCCCACGAAGTCCAAGGGGAACTGAAAAGTTCTCTCTCACATTAACAACACGGTCAAAGAGACGATAATCTGCATCGCGATCTGGTATAATTCCATGCTGTTGTTCTAATGACTAGGATAAGATTTAAGAGATAGCAGAAGTAGTCATATATGTTTAACTGTGAAACAACATGAATTATTTATATTTCTAGAAATACCAACCCTGCATGTTTCATGAGTACAGATAATATGGAGACTAGATTGATAATGATGAAAGGCTCAAAGTGACCAGGACAAAACATGATCTTATACCAGGCATGGCCAAACTCTGACCCTTCAGGTATTTTGGACATCAACTCCCACAATTCCTAACAGGCTGATGGGAATTGTGGGAGCTCAATTCCAAAACACCTGGAGGGCTGAAGTTTGCCCACACTTGGGCTAGTCTATGCAGACCAGATTGCCAACACAATACTTATAATCAATGTAACCATTTAAGATTATATGTATAGCTGGGAGAAAAAAAACTTTCTGAGTATGAACTGGTGTGAAGTACTTGTTATTCTCAATCTTTCACAATTATGGGTAGAACAACACTTGACTATACAAGTGTTGTCTCATAGTTGTCGATGCCCACTTTGGAATCTTGGCCATTGGAAGCTGAACTGCCTGATGTAATAGGTACTGAACTGGCTTTTAAATTTTAAATATGTCCAATTGTTATACGTATAATACTATGTTTATACATTTTATAATGACTTTTTGTATGTTTTTATGTCAGTAATTGCAATGCTTTACCATGTTGGAAAGTGCCCTGAACCCCTTGGGGAGATAGAGCGGTATACTAATAAAGGTTTATTATATTATTATTATTATTATTATTATTATTATGAGAAATAATGAATTAAACTGGTGATGCAGTGGGCTAAACCGCTGAACTTGCTGACCGAAAGGTTGGCAGTTCGAATCCGCAGAATGGGGTGAGCTCCCACTGGTAGGCCCAGCTTCTGGCAACCTAGCTGTTCGAAAACATTCTAGGCAGGAAGGTAACAGCGCTCCATACAGTCATGCTGGCCACATGACCTTGGAGGTGTCTATGGACAACGCTGGCTCTTCAACTTAGAAAGGGAGATGAGCACAACCCCCCAGAGTTGGACACAACTAGACTTAATATCAGGGGAAACCTTTACCATTACTTATTATTTATTCAAAGGAATTGCAGTAAATTCTTTTACAATATACTCAGACTTTCATTTAAAAACTATGTTTGGTATTTTATAAATCAGCAAAACTTACTCTGTATAACAAATGAGGTTTCACTGTCACACGCACTTTCTTATTACTTTTTCTTTGCTATAAGGAATACAAAAATGAAGAGGTGAAAATATTATTGGATTATTACAGTCTTACAAAATTACAGAACATACCTTCTCATTCGAAACTCTATCCTCACCCTTTCTCTCTACACAACACAATTTATATTGGTAATATTCAACAGTCTAATAAATGAAACACGTTCTTTACTTAACTTTTACATTTGTGCCCTAAGCAGTGTATTAAAAAGGCAAAGAGTTATGTCTCACAGAAGACATTCCAATTCCAGAAGAACACAATATATTCAACTCTAATCTCAAAATATCTTATTTGGAGCCCTTCAAATCTCATGAAATATTATAATACTAAGTGAATGTGTTGTTATATTGTAGCAAAGTAGAGCTTTTATTGGAAAACAAGCACTTTCAACAAAGCCACCCTAGTTATAGGGTACAACATTCTGTACGGGATACTATTTCGCATTTCCTGAAGAACCATTGGATGATTACTTATGTAAATGATATGTCAAATTGTCATATAAAAGTCTGATGACATTTAACATTTAAAGTAGGCTAAAATCTAAAATGAAGCTGAAAGTATTGTGTCAGTTCACTGAACATCAAAGGAATATCGACTCTGGACCCTTGCCCATCTTGGCTCATTAAATCGGCTAGGGAGGGGTTGGTTGATTGGTTTGTGTTGATCATTAACGCATTGTTGGAGCAAGGGACTTTTCCATCTAACCTAAAACAGGCCGTAGTTCGTCCACTCCTTAAGAAGGCTTCCCTTGACTCTACGGTACTGAGCAACTACAGGCCGATCTCCAACCTCCCTTTTTTGGGTAAGGTGCTGGAGCAGGTGGTCGCTTTCCAACTCCAGGGCTTTTTAGATGACATCAACTACCTAGATCAGTCACAGTCCGGCTTTAGGCCTGGTCACGGCACCGAGACAGCCTTGGTCGCCTTGGTGGATGACCTCCGTAGAGAGCTGGACAGGGGGAGTGTGACTCTGCTGGTTCTCTTGGACATCTCAGCGGCTTTCGATACCATCGATCATGGTATCCTTCTGGGTCGCCTCTCTGGGATGGGTCTCGGGGGCACGGTTCTGTCGTGGCTCCGATCCTTCCTGGAGGGACGAACCGAGATGGTGAAGTCGGGAGATGCCTGCTCGGATCCCTGGCCATTGACCTGTGGGGTCCCGCAAGGCTCTATTCTATCTCCCATGCTTTTCAACATCTACATGAAACCGCTGGGAGAGGTCATCCGGAGTTTTGGAGTTGGGTGCCATCTCTACGCAGATGACGCACAGCTCTACTACTCTTTTCCACCTGATTCCAAGGAGGCCTCTCGGGTGCTGGACGAGTGCCTGGCCGCTGTGTCTATCTGGATGAGGAGGAACAAGCTGAAGATCAATCCCGACAAGACAGAGGTCCTCCTGGTCGATCGCAAACCGGATCGGGGTATAGGGTGGCTACCTGTGTTGGACGGGGTTACACTCCCCTTGACGCCACAGGTCCGCGGTTTGGGAGTCCTCTTGGGCTCATCGCTCACGCTTGAGGCTCAGGCGTCGGCGGTGTCCGGGAGGGCTTTTGCACAATTGAGACTCGTGCGCCAACTGCGACCGTACCTCGCGAAGGCTGATCTGGCCGGGGTGGTCCATGCCTTGGTCACCTCTAGATTGGATTACTGCAATGCGCTCTACGTTGGGCTGCCCTTGAAAACGGCTCGGAAATTCCAACTGGTCCAACGGGCAGCGGCCAGGATGTTAACCGGGGCTCATTACAGAGAGAGGTCAACCCTCCTGTTTAAGGAGCTCCACTGGCTGCCTTTATTTTCCGAGCCCAATTTAAGGTGCAGGTGCTTACCTACAAAGCCCTAAACGGTTTGGGACCCATCTACCTGCGTGACCGCATCTCTGTCTATGAACCCACACGTTCACTTCGGTCATCTGGAGAGGCCCTGCTCGTGATCCCGCCTGCGTCACAAGCGCGCTTGGTGGGGACTCGAGACAGGGCCTTTTCTGTGGTGGCCCCCCGACTCTGGAACTCCCTCCCAAAAGATCTTAGACAGGCCCCTACATTGGCAGTCTTCAGAAAGAACTTGAAGACCTGGCTGTTCCGATGTGCCTTTCCAGATTAGGAACCCCAATACCAAGTCCTAGAAGCACTTTAGTTGAACTAATGGCCGTTGTATACCGCACTCTGCACTTAATTTATAATCCTATATACCCCCTGCCACATCAGCACTTTTAATCCTGTACCCATCACTCTGGCCTGGCCCAGTTTTATATTGTTTCTGATGTCTCTATGTATTTTTACTGTTGTTGTTTATTTTTGCTTAATCTGTTTTAATTTGCTCTATGTATTGTATTATTGTATTGTGTTTGAGGCCTTGGCCTATGTGAGCCGCATCAAGTCCTGCGGGAGATACTAGCGGGGTACAAATAAAGTTATAATAATAATAATAATAATAATAATATCCAGAAAAAATTACATTCTTAATCCTAAATACTAATTATTAGAGTTATCCCTTAAATTCTTAAAGAAGTACCTTGCACTTTTCTATTTCTTCTTCAATCTTTTCAACAATAGCAGCATCCAGAATGTGTAAATCACAAGAAGAACGTGACAGCGTACTAACAGGATGAGCCTTCAGCCATGCAATGATTTCTTGAACTTTCTCTGCACTATGTTAAAGATGATTTCATGTCAATAAAAATCACCAAAAAACTTTGTAGGACAGATATTAATCATATTTATCAACCATATCCTATCAAGATATTATCCCAATTAACTCTTGATAAGCTATTAAATAAGAGCTTACTATAAAAAACTATATTTTTGGAAACATAATGCTTCCTTTAGCCAATCGACAGCATTACAAAAAATTCTACTAGATGTATTAGTTTTGTTTTACTACACCTTAAGTACAATTGTAGTAAAGGAAAGATGAGTAAACACGTTTATTTCAGGATGTTTTCACTTGGTATTTACTGGAAGGACAGTTATATTCATCTGGCTCCCAAATCATCTAGAATTATGCTTGGATGTCAGCCACAGTGCTGTAGAACCGTTTCAACTACAATAAAGGAATTTGCAATTACACATTAGGAAGGAGTCCTAGGCCCCATCTACATTGTCATATAAAGCAATTTGAAACTGCACTATATGGTCAATGTAGATCGGGCATGGGCAGGAATTGTGGGACTTTAAGTCCAAAATACCTGGAGGGCCAAAGTTTGCAGATGCCTGATGTAGGCTTATATAATGAAATACAAAGCAATTAAACTGCATTATATAGCAGCATAGATGGGAACCGGCCCTTCCCAGCTCCTTTAAATTAGCAACTCCTTTAAAGCCAGAGTTATATATCTTTCTGGGACAACCCAAATACTATAAGGTAAATTGCAGTATTCCAAAATAGTGGTCTGTATACAGATTTGGACTTTGTGGGGTTTATCTAACATTATTTCAAATGTTATGAGCGTCTTACCCATTCTCTTCTTCTCCAGGCCAAATGTCATCTTCATAGAATATATCTTCTTGACCGTTTTTAGCTACATAACTAAAAAGTTCTGGAACCCTGATAACAAATAAATGTAAGTACAGCAGATGAATCCTCTCTCTACACACACTCCATAAAAATCACCCATCTATATATAATAATAATGTCAGTATCCAGGCAACACTTCCCACTATGTATATTACTGTTGCCCACCTCAAGCGCATACAGTATGAACTGTTACAATATAAGGCACGTCAATGGCAATGTTTACTTTTAGTCCTTACCTTTCCAAATATTCAGCAAGAAGCTGTTCCACTGCAGAGGAATACATCCACTCATTTCCAACTTTTTTTGTATAGCCAGGGACTTCCTCATTCTTTTTATTGAACTTTAAGTTCAATCCCACACTTGCTTTGTGATCTCCATGTGGACTGAAAAAAAAGTTAAGATTCCAAAAAAGTGTTGATTATATTTTACGAATAAATTACCAAGCTTTAACTGACAATTATTCTTATGAACCTATTGCTATGGTACATGTTTTAATGCTGAGCCTAGAAGGATGGTTTATTTGCTGAATTGTAGCATTGGGTGATATAAAAAAGACATACAATCTAGCTTTAGTAGGAATCATAAATTCATTCATTTATCTCTATTCAGATAATGTGAGTTTGATCAACTATAAACTTGTTTTCTGATTTAATGTCCTTTTGAGAGGCTCTATCTGAAAAAAAAATGCAGTTAAAAAGATCTTGCACAAGTTATTCTACAGTTACAATCTGTAGATGCATTTAGGGTTCTAACTCGTCTTCTTTCACCTATAGCTTTTACTTCTTATCTGTCCTTAATTTCTTCTGTCACCCTTTAGTGTGTGATTAATTTTCTCCTGGACTCCAACAAAGAAACTTTATATGAGGGCAAGTCAAAAGTTAGCGAATACAAAAGCTTGTTGACAAATGGACAAGAGTGTATTGAAAAGCAGGGAGTTTGCCTGGAAAAATGATATATTTGCCTTATCTGAAGGCTGATTAAAATAAATTCTACAGCAGGAATGCGGCTAATTCCCCCCTCCCCCCATATATATATATCCCTCAGCCTTCATCCAGACATCCCAGGGTAGCATACAACAACACCTGTGTATCCAATTTAAAGCCATAAAAATATTCAAAATATTTTTTTAAAAGCTAAGAGACATAATAATTAACATATTAAAAGACAGGCTAAAAGGGTTAAATAGACTAAAATACAACACTCAGACTAGCAACACTTTTGTCGCCATGGCTTGAATACACAAATGAAATGAACATCTCCCTGCTCAGTACTTACTTTTTCCTTGATCCTCTTCCAATAAATAGGCTTCCTGTAAATCTTGACACAAGGTAGCCACTTACTCCAAGACGACTGGCCAACACATATCCGGGATTGTACTTCACTGAATATTTCTACAACAATAAAAATTTTATGGTAGAAAAATATGTTCTTTAAACTTCAAAGGATGCAAAGATTCCACGAGTAGCATTTAGTAGCATGCAGTCTCAGCTCTATTTGCAACATCAGGGTCCCGTTGGTTGTCATAATTACAAGCCTGCTGCATACAAATACTTGATTTCAAACTATATGCACCCACCAAAAATGTAGGAATAAATAGGGATAAACATTACCATCATTCACGGACTTTTAAATCTGTAAGTTCCAACTACTGATAGGTTATTCATGTATGACTGAGAAGTCAAATCAAACTTTTAAATATTGTAAAATACACAATTCTAGATCTGAATCAATCTTCATAATCCAAAATCCACATTGGGGTTTTTGTAGATGTACAGAAAAAATGATGTTAGTATTTCACTACTGTATGCATCAAAGATTCTGATTCTTATTATTCATTTATTCTTGAAAATCAAATCTCCATACAAAAGGATAAACAATAGTATTTTCTGTTCAGAATTTCCTACTTGCAGCTAAGTTTAGTGACCTTTAAATCTAAAACAAAAAAATGTTGACCATTAAACAAATTCCAAAATCCAAAGTAACACTCTGGTGGAATGTTAACACAGAAAAGAGATTAAGGGTAACAGCAATGTTTGCTTTGCATTTTTTTCAATGGGCAACACAGTTACTTCCACGTTTTTCAAATTTTTATCACATAAATCTTAAATGAGACCCAACAGTTAATCTATAGTCACAAAATCTGTGTCAGAAAACTGTAGCCAAAATAAAAGGAATGATGGAACAAGCACTGCTGATGAAGCCACTGGCCACTGTTTTTCTCAAATACTAGAAAAAATATATCATCCTAGGTCAAAACCAGCTATTGCTTTAAAAAAATATCAAAGGATTGACACAAATACAAGTCTCTTGCATGAGCCCCAACAATTCTTTAGATTCTAATTTATATGTACATAAATACTATGAATACAAACAAACTCAGTCAGAGAAAACAACTGTGTGGCTAAAGATACTCCAGTAACCTATAAATATAAATGCTCTTGTTCTGTCTCCACATTAGCTATTTATTTGGAAGGTGTCTGTAATGAAAGGAACAGATCGAACTGCTAAACATTTGAAGTAAAAACAACAATGTATTAAATAGCCTATTGTAAACTTCCTCTCCTTAAGAGTTTTACTGCAAGTCTTTGTGAGAAGAGTTAATGTCTTTGAAACACAACCACGATTCTAAGTGGCTGTCACTTTAATATGGTTTCAACTGGATCTCAATCTAATATATCTCTGACGTGGTTTTACTTTGTGTCTTTACTTTTATATAACTTTGTTGTGACCATGTATAGCTTTGACATGTTCTATTTTGTAGTTTTTCCACCTTCCTTACTCTTCACTTCCCAATTCTACACTGCCTGAATCCTCAAGAAGCCAGAAAGGCCTTAGCCGAAACTCCGCCTCTTGAGAGGAGTCTTAAAGGGACAGGGCGAGGGACACTACAAACACAAGGAGGCAGAGGCTATACAGACTAACCCCACAAACTATACATAAAATATTAATCGGCTTAAACTAAATAGGAGCAAAACAGGAGTAAACAGTGAGGATCTTGTGGAGGCACAACAGCTCCTGACAGGTTTTTTGTGTAATGTGCAACAAACCTAAAGAAAGACTTACATGTTGATTCTGTATCAAGATCTCTAACTGAGGTTCACATGGACTGTTGAAAAGAACACGGATTCGACCCTCTACGATGACATCTGATGAATCCTGAACCTTAAAAATAAATACTTTTAAACTTACTCAAATGACAGATTTAAGTCCATTTCAATGAGGGAAATGTTTCTATACAAAGGAATGAATCCAACACAGAATTTAGCAAATGGAAGATTTGTACAAGCTATGGTGGGCCTTATAGCTCCAGGTACCAAATTTTCAGTCTGGTTTAGTTATGGTTTGGTTAAATACATATTTTTTGGAAAAGGACCTGAAGAAAGGGTTGTGAAGGAATAGCAATTATTAAAAACTAACTTCTCCTGTGCAGCCATAGTAAGGTACTCCCAGCATAAAGACTGTACATCCAAGAGGGAAGAGGTCATCCAAAGTTTTCAACTTGGAAAAGCGGGAATCAAAAGCTTTTATATCCTGTGTGAAAAAGTAGAAAAATCTATAATCTAAGGATAATTTACATTTATTAATTAGATGTACAAACCAATACAAAACAATACTGTGCTGAATAAGAGTTCTCTCAAATCTGACTGCTCACCAGGAAATACACAAACTGAAACACATTTTGAAAAGATCTAACAAACCTATAAATATGTCTCTGTCTCTCTCTCTCTCTCTCTCTATATATATATATATATATATACACACACACACACACACACACACACACACACACACATCACTATACAGAATGTACAATTGTTTTCCAATCCCAGTTCCACAACAGACTGTGAACCAGGAATGTTGCAATAGAGATACAGCACACTTTCATGTATAGCTCCTGGCATTAAGAATACAAATGCATCCTACAGTATTCAAACATTCAAACTTAATATCCAAATCTTAATTTTTCTACAAACATTTTATCCTAGACTAGAATTGGTACTAAAGGAAAACACCTAGGGGTGAAAAGAGGAATTCAGGAACTCACCTTGACAACTGTTTGGTATGCAAAAGGCAGAACCTGCTTGGACCATTGCTTCTCCAAGTACACTTCACCACTTTGATTCAATTGGTATCTACGTCCAGTAAGTAACTGAGCATATACAATGGCAGATGTTTCATTAATGATAATTCCTTTCCTTTTTTGGTAGCTGGAAGAAAAAAAAATAGATTGCACAACAAATTAAAAGGGGTGTAATTTGCCTCAAGTTTTGTTATCATTCTTAATGTCATAACTCCAAAACAGTAAACCAATAAATTTTGGTGCAATCCCTTTTGTGAAAATAGTTTCCAAGGAAATATCTCATTCCTTAATGACATAAAAATCTTCATACTAGGTCTCTGTCACTGCCAATACACCATAAGATCTGTTAGGATTAAGAATCTGCACACTGATCTTCCATTCAAAAAGTATTATTTATTTAAATTACAGTATATCTTAGTCCTATTTAAAAATAAAAAAGGCTGGGGCAAAGATATAAACAACTGTCAGACATACACATTTTCATTCATCTGTACTTATGATGATAAAACTACAACAAATGCTATCATGTGAATAAAATGGCTATTTAAGTTTCATGTCCACCACATTCTCAGGTGTTACATGAGCATGGGAAATAAACAAATTCATTTTCCCCTGCATGGCAGGGCATTGAACTGGATGGCTCTTGTGGTCTCTTCCAACTCTATGTTGGTTATATATCACATAAAATTACAATGTATTTTAAAACAAATTGCTCATGAAACTATCTTCCCTTACAATGTAGCCCCTGAAAACTTAGCATGGGTAGAAACTTACTGTTCTGAAATTCCCTGGATATCTTTCTTCCATAAATTCTGTTCTTTATCTCCAACGTACGTTACTTTAGTTGGTGGCACAGCATTTCCCATGTAGAGCTTCTGTGTTCCAGGAGGCTCCTCTAAACTAAACCTAAAATAGAAAAAATGCAATAAATACATTAAACATGTACCTATTTCTAGATAAATAATATTTAAATGGATTTTTATGATTTCTCTGAAACCGACTAATAATAAAAATAATCTTTATTTATACCCCACCACCATCTCCCCAACGGGGACGCGGGGCGGCTTACATGAGGCCAAGCCCAAATAATAAATTGCAATACAATGAGATACAAATTGCAATAAAATAAACAACATAACATTAAACTATAAAACATATAAGGATATAAACAATAAACACAAAACATTTAAAAAAAGAAAACAGTAAACCAAACATAATGACAGTGAGCGGGCCACATGTACATAAAATGATTTAAATTTACAGATTTCTTACGCATTTCCATGAAAATCAGAAATGTACTTTCTAAATTTCTATTTTAAAAAGGTATGCTTAATTTATTTCAAATAAATATTGATACTACGAAAACTAGCAGATATTCTTCAGATCCCCCCCCCCCATTTTATATAGATTAAATGACTCTTCCCATTATCAGAGAAGAAAGCAGCAGAAGGTAAAGGTTTCCCCTGAATATTAAGTTTAGTCATGTCCAACTCTGGAGGGTGATGCTCATTTCCATTTCTAAGCCGAAGAGCTGGTGTTGTCCATAGACACCTCCAAGGTCATGTGGCCAGCATGACTGCATCAAGCGCAGTTACTTTCCCACAGAAGCAGTACCTATTGATCTACTAACATATGCATGTTTTCAAACTGCTAGGTTGGCAGAAGCTGGGCTTAACAGTGGGAGCTCACCTCATTGCCAGGATTCGAACCGCCAATCTCTTGGTAAGCAAGTTCAGCAGCTCAGCGGTTTAACCCGCTGCACCCCCAGGAGACCCGAAGTTTCTAGAGATAACCTGAAATATTCCTTCACCAGTCTCAACCTTAGTTGACAAACTTCTAGATTTGGGAGTTTTTTTAAAGACATTAAGGCGGTAATTAGTCAGGCAGACTTATCTGCTTTCCTATTTTCTCTCTATTTTGGTTGGAAATCTGGTGGCAGCTGCTCTTTACCTTGCCAATTGTAGGCAACACACACAGAGCTACAGTAGTAGGATCAGCTAGAAAAGAATCCCATTCTTCCTCAGCACAAGTTCTATTGTAATGCTGATGACACTACTAACAGCTAGAGGTAAGACAAGAAGAAAAAAAGAGGAATCGGCCAGTATAAAGGGGAAAAAATGACAAAAGCATCACTATCAGAGGCATTTACTCAAGTATGCTTGTAATTAAGTCTTTGCTTTTCCGAAGTGGGGGGAGGGAGTTCCAATTCTCAGGGTTTGAATACAGTTATTTGAAAAATTACTAAAGCAGCCATTAATATTCTATGATCATGCCACATAATGTTTTTTTAAAAGACAACTTCAAAATCAAGAAAGCAAGCAGTGTTCCAAAGCAGGCTCTTACTTTGTTTCGCCATCTGATACAACAACAACTCTGGCTTCTTCCAGGTGTGGCCAGTTAACAAAGACAGATTTCCCAAGCACTGAACTGGCTATATTTTCTATGTTCTAAATAAACAAAAAAAGCAGTTAAAAATAAATCCCCATGGCAAAATTTTAAAGTATTTGGCTAGACAGCATCAAACAGTTAATAACAGTTAAATAGTAATTGAAACTAAGGCACCAGCCCACTTGGATAAAGAGACCTTGATCAGGATACTTTCAAAATGCTTCCTGAACTACTTGGTAAAGACACTCCAGTGGGCAAACCATAAAAAAATTCTACCACCTCTCCAAAAAGAAAACAACACAAAACAAATTTGAAATTGAAAGGCACTAACCAGTTCTTCTGAATCTTCTCTAACCATGATTTCCAACAACATGTTTTCTCCATGGCTACTTTGCTGAAATACTTGAACACCATATTTCTTAAGATAGAACTAGGATGGGAGAAGAAAGACAGTATGCGTCATCAGTAGATGTTGCAGAATTAATATGTGACATAAAGTGCACCTGTTAATAAGAGTAACTTTACCTTATGAGGAATGTGCTTCAGAGTAGGAAAACCACAGAAATACACCTTCTCCAAATCCAACTTGGTTATTTCATTATGGGCTATATCTACAAGCCAAGCATCCAAGGACAAGGATTTATACCTACAAAGCAAGAGAACACAGTCAAAACAGCGTCAATTTACACTGACATGACAATACCACCAGCAAAGAAAATAATCAAACACAGGAAATACACTGGGTTGCTGTGAGTTTTCTGGGATGTATGACTATGATCCAGACGTTCTGCCCACATCTGCCCCTCAGAGGTTGCAAGGATGCCTGTCATAGATGTGGGCAAAATGTCAGGAAAGAATGCTTTTGGAACATGGCCATACAGACCGGAAAACTCAGAGCAACCCAGTGATTCTGGCCAAGAAAGCCTTCGACAACACATACAGGAGAGAAATGACTGGATTTCAAAAATTCAAAGTAAAAGACAAGGAACAGAAGGAGAAAGAAGAGAGGATTGTGGCAATTAATCTATTCTGTGTGAACAAGGAAGAAAATTAACTAAAAGAAGGGGGCAAGCTAGGTGGCCAATGTGTTTGACTCCAGGTGATAGAAAGGCAAACTAACCTGCTCTGTGTAAAATGCTCTTCTGTGTTTCCCAGATAACGTAAATATTGTCTTTAAAATATATGTTTTATAACACTGTGTATTACAGTAAACAGAAGCTCAAAACAGCACGCTGTCCAGCTTTAATTGTCAGAATTCCAGGTACAAGCTGAATATTCTTATTTGAACACTTGGCTCAGTGGGTTAAACCCTTGTGCCAACAGCTTTTAATCCAATTCGAATCTGAGAAGAGCTCCCTCTTTCAGCTCCAGCTCCCCATGCGGGGACATGAGAGAAGCCTCCCACAAGGATGGCAAAACATCAAACATCTGGGTGTTCCCTGGGCAACATCCTTGCAGACGGCCAATGCTCTCACAACAGAAGTGACTTGCAGTTTCTCAAGTCACTCCTGACACAGAAAAAAACAAAACTTAATTATTTTAACCAATTTCTTCCAAGAGCTAATATGAAGTATCACCAGCTTACTTAAAATATGTATTGCTTTCAACCAATACAATTTTGAAATTCATTTCATATAAAACTCCAAAAAAAAAAACACAGCTCAAGAGACTGTAAATAAATGCCCCTGTTGTCTCACCTGGTATGGCATCGTTCTATGGCAGGGAACTTCTCTGGCCATGGTGACAGGTACTGGAAATCTAGATCTTTATCATATAAGTACATTATGCATTCACTGTGTCTATTTCTTTGTCTTTCTTCTGCTGTCAATAACTTGTTGCAGGGTTCCATTGCTTCTAACAATTGTTTCTAAATTAAAAGATAGTGGTAGATGCATTGTACACTTTATATCCTAACAGCCACAGAGTTGCAAAAAAGCATGAAAATAAATATTGGGCTGGATACAGCCTTACTTAAAGTCAGATCTCATGGAAAACAGTAAAAGACTGTATGTTAATGTGCATTGTGTTTTTATCAAATGCTCTCTTAAATCATAACAACATGCCCTATGGATTTTAATAGTTCAACCAACCTAGTTTCAATATAAGTTTACTGCCCTCCCCCAGCAGTACACACACACACACACACAAGAAGAAGAAAAAGAGAACCACCTTACTTTATAGATGTTTTCCAATAAGTTTCCAATAAGTTTAGAACAATAAGTGATTTCCAATAAGTTTAGAACAAAAAACAAAACAAAACAGGGAAATTTTGGTCATTTGGACATACTGTCCCCTTCTCAGTACTGGCCTCATATATACAGTTTAGTAGCCTTCTACCCCTGGTCTTTCCCACAGAAGGTAAAACTAAATAATATACTGAAAGGAATATATATATTTAAATATATGAAACACATTTCTTTTTTCCACCTATCTGAATGGAACTGATTTCCAATAAGTTTAGAACAAAAAACAAAACAAAACAGGGAAATTTTGGTCATTTGGACATACTGTCCTCTTCTCAGTACTGGCCTCATATATACAGTTTAGTAGCCTTCTACCCCTGGTCTTTCCCACAGAAGGTAAAACTAAATAATATACTGAAAGGAATATATATATTTAAATATATGAGACTGTTTAATTTCTTGATGTGTCAATTCATTTCTCTAACATGGATTTGACTACTGAACAGGAAAAATAAGATGAGAGTGACTACAAAGTTTGGCTCCCATTGCTGCTATTTCTATGGATTTCAAACTTTGCTCAGCAAAAAATCTTGTTGTGTTTGTATTTGATTTTACAATGTTTATTTAACCGAAGTTTAAGCACGTGGCATGGCAATTCTCCTTATGAAGATCTGTAAAAATATTATCTGCTTATGTCCAGTGGTAGTTTCCTTTTGGACAAGAGTTCCTACTAAAATTAATCTTACTTTACTATCATCCTTGAATTTTGCAGGCCTACTTTTATTCTATAATTATTCCCCACAGCCTGGAACTTAACCATGTATACACATTTGGATATGTGGACATCTTTTCTAGATATTTGTACATAACAGTTTCCTATTGTTTATTTTCAATTTTCTTTAGTTTTAGTAAGATAATTGCACAATAAAAGTAAAAGAAAACAATGAAAACATAGTCCTGTAAATTGAGTTTCTTTTCAGGGAACGTTTAGGCCATAGAAAACAAGATTTAGTGTTACCTGTGAGAATTAAACTCTAGACAGGTATATTTTTATATAAAATGTATTTCATTCACCATTTAAGCAAAAAATAAAAGCATGAACTAGCATTTGGCGGATAAATCTGTAATATCGAATATTTCAGTTTCCTTTCATCTGCATATTAAATGCCATCTCTGATTTGATCTTATTTCAAGTGAAGAAAATAGCTTGTGCTTCAGAAAGAACTGGAACAGATATAAAGTTATCAAAAAATTGTGACAGTCTAAATAATCATCTCAAGATAAAAGAATGACAAAGCTTTTACCTCATCAATGAATGGAATTAATACCACAGCCTCCCATTCTTGTTGCTTTCCATTCAAATCTGTTTTAAATTCTGTTGGATAATAATCAATAATGGGAGAATCTTCACTGGTCATCAAATGCTAAGAAACAAGAAAGACACAATTCAGATCATAACAAAGCCTTTGGTGAAGCTCCTTTTTACAAAGTCTTTTCCTAGATCCCCTTTCCTCTTTGTCCTTTGTCTAAACAGAAGCTTTTAAAGCAGCATCAGCACTGGAATGATGGTAAAGAAGGGCTGGATGGTAAAGAAGGGTTTTGATGTCAGGTTGACACGGAATCTCTCACTAGCCACAAATGAATGCCAAACATTTGGATAGCAGAGAAACTTGTGTCACTAGCTAGCTTTAAGTAAAGGTAAAGGTTTCCTCTTGACATTAAATCTAGTTGTGGCCGACTCTGTGGTGGTGGTGCTCGTCTCCATTTCTAAGCTGAAAAGGCAGAATTGTCTGTAGACATCTCCAAGGTCATGTGGCCGGCAAGACGGCATAGAGCACCATTACCTTCCCACCTGAGCGGTACCTATTGATCTACTCACATTTGCATGTTTTCGAACTGCTAGGTTGGCAGAAGCTGGAGCTAACAGCGGGAGCTCACCCCACTCCCCTGATTCGAACCGCCGACCTTTCAGTCAGCAAGTTCAGTAGTTCAGCAGTTTAACCTGTTGCACCACCAGGGGCTCCCCAGCTATAGATATAAAAAGCTAAAAAATTGTACGCTTGGTTACTAAAATGAAAATAAGCAAGAAAGTGAAAGTTGGTGAAATAAAATGTTTTTGTTATTTCAAAGACTTCATTTTCCACCCCTGTGAATACTGTTAATTTTGTACAAAAACTTGTTGAACTGCTCTTCATTTCTGCAGTGATGTAACCCATCCCTATTCAAATCATTTCATTTTTTACTCTAGCACCAAATTTTCTGTTAAAATAGTAATCTGCAGTAGCACATATACGCTGTTAATTGCGATATACCTGTATTCAAAATGTGAGGCAAATAACTACCTCCAAATGTACTATGTTAAAGCACTCACTGCACAAAGAATCTAGGACAAACAATGCAGGATAGTATGACTGAAAATCAGTTTGTACAACATTAATATGGCGTATGAATGATATGTATACTTCTTAGAAATATTACGCAGCCTACCTGGTAGCATTTTGGAAGTAAATCCTTGCTAGCTGCTGGCAACACTGCAAGAAGTTGTTCAAATGGCATGAACGGTTTCTCTAAATCCAAATAAATCTTCAGGTCGCTGATTTTGCGAATATCAGAGAGATAAGGTGCATAATGATAGGGATAATACCTATAAGAAGGGAATGTGATATTTTACTTCCTCAAAATAAACAGACACACAAACATTCATTCTCTCTCCCATATGTGTATGTGTGTATGCATGTACGTATATGTGTGTATGTGTGTGTGTGTGTATGTATATACATATAAAACACACAAATGTATTCTAATACTCTGGAAGTAGTGAAAACTCCTGGAATAATGAGCAGTGTTATCCAGGATGCATTCAAAAGCATTGGAGTTTCTGGTGCATGTGACATGGGATCAAAATATTTAACACAGAATACACTTGACCTCAAAGGTGACCTGAACTCTCCCTTGACAACAACTTACCAGCTCCATGACTGAACTCCATGATAGTAGTAATGCAAAATCCATTGTATTGCCTGAACATAACACTTTGCCTGGTCTGCCAGAAAGTCACTGAAGCAAAAAGGAAAAAAAGATAATGTGTTTTAATATTAAATATCCTTCTCTTTTCACTTACAAAAACAATTTCAAAACCCTTTTAAAATGGCAGAGGTGTTATGCCAAAGAATGAGAGAAAACCATTGTTTTAACACATTTTAAGTTTACTAACAAATAACAATGTCTACAGTTACCTGTGGTTTAGAAATGGAAGACATCTTAAGGTTCATACTTACTCTGAAACTACTTCTACACCCATCTTTGTCATATAGTAGGTTCTTTTGTACTGTCTAAACTCTGTTTCAAACAAATCATCCTCTTCTGGTTCATCTTCTAAAGCGGCTACAATAAAATTAAAATAGTAAATATTTTGAGCAGTAACTATGACGTGTTCCAGATTTAACATAAGCTTCCATTGTATGCTAAGAAAAGTGAAGTTAGTATTTTGATTTTAAAGTTAAATCAAGCTGTGGTCTGTCAATAATTATTTTCATTGTTCTAAATCAGTTTAGCTAGCATATGTGGTTTTCATTTGGGAATGCTGACGACTAGATCATATTTTCTACCAGGCCAAACTATTCAGTTAGGGAAATAGATGAAAACAAATCACTTTTTTGCAATGTAAATGTTATCCTAATACTAATAACCATAATACTAAGGCACTTGTTTTCCATTGCCTGGAAAAAGCAAACGTGAGATTCTAACCCCAGCAATGGACCATAGCTTATACTCACATAGGGGCTAATCTAACCAAGTACAATTCAATTTCTTTTGTCAGTTTCTCTTATTATCTATCCTACAACAGATTTTCTGAGGCAATAAATGTAAACAGAGGAGTCATATTGCACCAGCCTTGCTGCTTAATATAGATACAAATATTCCTATGGAAATACTTTCAACTTTCTCTTAAACAGTAAGATATACAAATAATGAGAAACTCTCACAAATATTTTATCCAAACAGATCAGTTGCTCCTATCATATCACAATAATTTCGAACTCACTTTTCAAAGTGACTTCATTCCCACCATTTGGTTTCTCTAAAGCTGCCAAATATAAGGCATTTTCCTGAACCTGTTAAAATAAATTAACACTTTTGAAATAACAAAAACACTCATAAAAGCATTTATATAAGAATGCAAAGTGAACAATAATAATGCCACTTCAGAGGCATAAAAATCACAGCTATGTGCTCATTTAGAAAAAGCATTTAGAAAAGTTTTAACCTATCAGTGTCAAACAGATGAATAGTTTGAGCATCTGGGTTTCAATCTGAAATACACTTTCTTGGATGCACATCATCTAAGAGGCACAAATTTGGTTCATGATCAAAAAGAAAAAAAAAACACACAATTACACCCTAAACAATTTGTTATGAAAATGCATGAAAGAAAGGGGCATTAATAAAGGAGTTTATGCTGTTCTCTGTGTGAACTATGTTATTGGGAAATTTAAATGGTTATCTTAGAGGGATGTACCCATTCTGTCTTTTGAAGTTCAGGCTGAAGAAAGGCAGAGAAGAAATAAAGGAAATACCATCTACATAAAGAAAGAGGAAGTCTCCTAGTTATTCAAATCAACAAGAAACCCTGATTTAGAAGAATTTATATTTTTTACATTCTATACTACTAGTGTAAACGTGATGACTCAGTGGCTTTCCACTAATTTATTATTTATTTGCTATATATATCCCATTTTTCACGACTCCGAGGGGGATTCAAGGCAGCTTACAGATAGGAAACAATTTGATGCCTTAACAACAATATACAATCAAAATAAACATTTAAAGAAAATTAATATCAAAATTAAAATACATTAAAACATTTAAAAAACATTACAATCACTATAAAACCACGCTATCCGCAATCATAATCCAGATCACACATAATTCCAATCCATCTATTGTACTATGTTTCTTCTCCACAGGCTTGATCCCAGACCACGTTTTCACTCTCTTTCTGAAGGTCAGGAGGGAGGGGGCTGATCTAATATCACTGGGGAGGGAGTTCCACAGCCAAGGGACCACCACTGAGAAGGCCCTGTCTTTTTTCCCCACCAGTTGCACTTGCGAAGGAAGTGGGACAGAGAGGTGGGCCTCCCCGGATGATCTTAATCTCCAATATGGTTCACAGGGGAAGATATGTTCGAAACCATTTAGGGCTTTATACTTGAAAGCCAACACTTTGAATTGTTCTTGGTAGCAGACCAGCAGCCAGTGGAGCTGACGTAACAGGGGGGTTGTCTGTATTATCAGCACACTGATATGATGCAGAGATTAAATCTTCTCTCAAATGCTATGAGCAATTATTCCAGACACCTCCTCCTCAACACACAAATATATATCCATACAATCTCAACTGGTAAATGAAAACATTGACATATTGTGTAGAAACTAAAATCTAATTTTGGATTTTAAAAATTCCGCAATTAGTTTTTAACTGATTGACTGAGACAAACTGAACTACTAACCTTGTGTTTCTTATGCTGTTTTGATTCTTCAGCTGCCTTACCAGCTGCCTCATTCAGATATTTATTGCCTACTTTGCTTTCAAACCACTTTAAATCTACAAAGATTTCACTGAAGTGCTCACGGTCAAACTGTTAACACAAATGGAAGAAAAACAAAATAATCAGTTTCAAGATAATGAAAATTCCATTGAACCTGACTTTAAGAAAAAACAATCTATTTTTAGGTAAATCTCTTGAATTATTAGTCTTACATATTATTATTACACCAGAAGCAACTTGCAGTTTCTCAAGTCGCTTCTGACACACACACACAACATTGCATATTATTTCTATTTCCTGAATGTATGGAATTACTCCAGTCACTACTTTCAATATTTGCAAATTTGTATCTTTAAAAAAGCTAGACATCTGACCACTTTCAATATTGGCAAATGTATATCTGCAAAAGAACTAGACATTTGACAAAAGAAGAGAAAGAAACCGAAACTCCAGAAGAAACTGATAAGCTGTGGTTTTGGGTCTCTGAAGTGCAAAGTACAGATACTTACATCAGACAGTTTTGCAAGATATTTCTCAAAGCGTGACAAGTTGAGGTGCCCTTTTTCATTAATGTAACCTAACAAAAAGAAGACAATGATTTATGCTTGTTGTGAAGACCCTACATCTTCTACAGATGACCTTTACATTTAACTGCATGAAGGAATTCCTTTGCTCACAGAGGGAACTAAGATCCAGTGGGAATTACTTGATGGAATGAGATATCAGGGCAGTATTTCCACACATTTACCCTTGACCTTGCAGCCCTTACACATAATTTCCTCAAATTCTGATGCTGCCCCTCACCTCCTCCTCGCCAGCAATTTACAATAGTATAGAAGATAGTATTGGGGAGATTTTAATGTCAGCAAAATTCCCCTGATCTAACATAAAATGCCCGGGAAAAAGGAAAAAAATGGAAATTTCCAAAAAAGCATAGAAATCAGAAATATTTTATTTTCTGTTATGCAATTTCAGAAGTTTCTGGATGGTGCCCCCGGTGGAGCAGTGGGTTAAACCGCTGAGCTATTGAACTTGCTGACCAAAAGGTCGGCAGTTCAAATCTGGGGAGTGGTGTGAGCTCTCGCTGTTACACCAACTTCTGCCAATCTAGAAGTTCGAAAACATGCAAATGTGAATAGATCAATAGGTACCGCTCCAGCAGGAAGGTAACGGCGCTCCATGCAGTCATGCCAGTCACATAACCTTGCAGATGTCTATGGACAACAGTGGCTCTTTGGCTTAGAAATGGAGATGAGCACCACCTCCACAGAGTCGGGCACGACTAGACTTAATGTCAAGGGGAATCCTTTACCTTTATTTTCTGGATTTATGTAGCAGTAAATGTGTGACAGATTGCTTACCTTCGAGTTCAGGCAATACAGCCATGTATGTTCTATAAAGCATTGGCAGCGCATCATGGTTAATGTGCAAATGAGGTAGATGAGGGATAAAATCATTTCCAACTAGAAATCCCATTAAGATCCAGTCATCTATTATCTTTTCAATTTCATATGGGAATTTAATCTTGGTCTGATAAATAAAGACAGAAAAATCCACATTCAATTTCATGTGTGAATGTCATCACAATATGTGCATGTAATCTATTCATACTTACTTTAACTGGGGAAAATTCATAGTCAATATATTCTCTCATTAATGATAAGTGCAGCAGATGGAAAGTGGTTTCTTCTGGAGCACACACTCTGTAAATTATTGAACACAACTCAGTAAGCCCCTTTCCTGCAGGTGATACTCAACCAACTCATTCAATATCAAACATTTGAACAAAAATGTACATAGTTACCTGGAGGTTTTCTTAAATATTAAATTAAATATTTGTACAACAAGTTACCTTTGTGACTTTTTGCCACCAAATCGGACCTCTTCTCTTAAAAGCGAGAAATGTGGCTCATGACTTGTTAGTCCCAGAATGATCTGTTGAAAGAAGTATTTTCTTTTCTAGAATCAACCATTTTAAAAAAAACATCTAAACTAGATGCCAAACTACTGAATAAGCTGATTTTACACCCCAAGTAAAAAGAAAAAGGAGTGCGAATCTTGGTGGAGAAATGAAAATACACAGTGCAGCCTGAAGAGACTCTTTGGAACACATTAATACAAACCTCATTTATTCCCAACTAAGTAATATAATAATTTTCGCCCAACTTACCAGGTCAGCATCTAACCCATACAGACAATGTCTTGTGTTCGGATCATGGTCGGGTTTTGTCTTCTCCGATCGGATAAATTCCATAATTTTATGTTCCCCTTCTCCTGGTGTCTGAATGAAAAGTAAAGCAAAATGAGCAAACACTGTTTTGTTAAAAAACTAATTTAAGAAGTCATTATTAATGAAAGAAGTAACCTCATGGCCCGATAAGTAAACAGTCACGCCTTGCCAGGATTTGTCTGTAGAGATCTTCATATTTACAAAATACTTCAGGTGTTCATGTAACCTGGCCATGAATTCAGTCCCTAGTAACAGAAATCTAAAAGTTACACTTTCATACAATGAAATCTCAAAAAACTTCACTATATTCACAAATAATAAAATTAATATTTCATACAATATTTTAAAAACACAATTCTACAGATATGCTAAAATTAAATTAATTGTCATTTTTAAAAAATCCTTCAACTATTCTTCTGTCTTAGGAATTACTGATCTCAATTTCCCAAGAAACCCGTTACATTGAATTCTGCCTGACCCACGAAATGTATGATGAGCACATGAGGTAGCCTGATAGAAAACAGAGATGGGAAATAGGAGAAGTATGTCATTAAAGTAAATGTGGTCTCCAAATGAGTCCCCTTCGGGGTGAGAAGGGTGGAATATAAATGTTTTAAATAAATAAAATATCAAAACAATGCAAACCAAACACCTTTTTTTGCAAGATTTCTAAACACATTTTGTGGGAAATGACTATTCAAAACAATAGTATTACACAACTTATCATCAAGGTTGTGGCAAGAGGAGGAATTATTTCATTTTGGGCATGGAAACCACATTTTAACCATAAGGTAAAGTGACCTAATTGATCTACCACAAACAATAATGTATAACTAGAACGTTCAGCATTGTTTTTTAAAAAATATCAGCACCTTTTACCTTGCAAAGTTAGACACTGCTTTAAATTAGGACTTGGAACATGAAAAACATGCAATTTAGAAGCCAAACTTTAATGAATTAATGGCAAATATGAGAATCTTGTATAGCAGCACATACTTATCTAGTTTCCAGAGTGTTTCCATGTAATCATAATCACAAATGAAACAATGAACTATTAACAAAACCGTACATTTCAGATTATTTCCCAGTAAATTAAAAGTCTGAAAGGTTAGCCCTCTGGAACTTTAAAAAACATCATATCATTGGAGAGATGAAAGAATTCTAAGGGACTGCTTAGTGTTTAAAAGTAACAAAATCAGAAGCTGAAGAGGCTCCCCTACCTGGGGTAATACAATTGGAATCAAATCTGGCTTCCGTAGGAAGAGTTTCTCCTTTTTCCAATGCCTTTTTTATTTTGTCTTCTGCCTCCTTTGCTGACCTAGAAGTTAAAATCACTTCATATCTAGAATCTCAATGATTTCACAATCTTATAAAAATTCAGGTACATAACTGTAATTGGTTAATGAACATCTTTTTCTTTGTAACATAAAATAAAGTGGCCTCTAATCTGCATAAGACAGGTGTGGGGGCAAGGAGAATGAAGGTGAGGAATATTAGCTTGCTAACTCTTCAATTACAGGTAGACATTAGGTTCAAGTATATACATCTATAGTATGAACCCAGAGCCACTGTGAAGCCGTGGTTTGAGTAGTGGACTATGATTCTGGAGACCAGGGTTTGCATCCCTGCCTGTCGTGGAAATCCACTGGGTGACCTTTGGTAAGCCACACTTTTCTAATCTCAGGCCCCTTCCACACAGTTGCATAGCTGAATAAAATCCCACATGTTTTGCTTTGAACTGGAATATATGGCAGTGTGAACTCAGATAACCCGGTTTAAAGCAGATATTGTGGGATTTTCTGCTTTAATATTCTGGTTTATATGGCAGTGTGGAAGGGCCCTTAGAGGAAGGCAAATGCAACCTGTTTCCAACAAATCTTTCCAGGAAAAGCCCATGATAGGCCTCCCTTAGAGTCACCGTAAGTCAGAAATTACATGAACGCACACAGCCGTAGTATATATTCACTTGAGATTTCCGTATGTTTGACAGAAAAACCACTGCTCTCCAAACCTCTCTCATAAGGGCACTGTATTCCCGCCAACCATTTCCCTAGAAAGACCGTGTGGTTTGGAGTACCATTTAAAGTTTGTCCACAACCATTTAAAGCAGTGGTCCCCAACCTTTTTTTTGACCAGGGACCACTTGACTAGGGACCATTTTGATCAGGGACCACTCTCAAGGAGGTTATTAATCAGTTTTTGGTTCACTGTAGATTGCTGATTCAGAAAATTGCATTAGATAGACCACATCAGCTCTAGTTTCTGATACAGAACATATGCCATTCAGTAGTCACCATCTGCTTGCCCACAGAAAACCATATTTAATAATCTAGAGCTGATGTGGTAGCAGTAATCTTTTCTGGGTAGTCAGCCTGTCCCCTCCTGATATCCCCTTTGCTTTGGCACTATAAGAGGGTTTTGTGAGATCAGTCACTCTCGTTGCTTCATGGTTTTGAGGCAACTGTGTAGTAATGGTGAGACTGCGGACCATATTTTTGTTCTTGAGGACCACTGGTGGTCCATGGACCACTGTTTGAGAACTGCTGCTTTAAAACATCAACTTAAAGTCCACAATTTTTGTTGAGAAGAACTGGGTGGGGAGAGTAGTATAACATTGCCCCTGCCTCCCAAAATGAGCCAGAGGGGACAATGAGCTGGTGCTACAAATTTTGCAATAAAGATAGCCAAACATTCTGGATATCTGGAAGGACCACAACCTTTCCACAGTTAGAAATATTAAGTGAGCTATGGAGACTAGATAATGGCCACAATCTTTTGTATTCAGGAAGAAAGAGTTTAAAAGTAAGAAACAGCACACAGACCTAAAACGTCTCCCACGCTGCTGGTTCATTTTGGCTCTTGGAGCTACTCCATCGACTGCCATGAAGAAAACCTTCCGTGGTTTAATAATGCGAAACAATACTTCTAAATAGTGAAATATGTCAGCAAATATTTTATCTTCAGAAATTCTGAAGTGAACATCATCATCATTAGGATGTGAACACTGATGAATGATACCGTTCATGTCCAGGTACAAGTTGTCAAATTCTGGAATCTAGGGGAAAACATTAAGACAGTTATCTAAGACAGATGTCTGGCAAGATATTATGTCCCACCATCCCCTAGTGTCTTCTCAGTGAGGCTGCTCCACTATCATTTTCCTTAATGAAATTCTGTATGGATTGCTGAAAAAAGTACCTCAGGTAAATATGTCACTAATTTAATTTTTGTTCAAGACACACAATTTTATACAAAAATCATCTGATACTGATATATAAATTCCTGATCTTCAGAAAAACTAAATTGTCTCATTGTTCTTAGACTTCACTTACATCCAAGCAGTCAAAAAGCAGAGAAGGTATCCATATTTATTCTATCTGCTATAATATTAATCTTTTATTTTGCAAAATTAAAAAAGTGATAGAAATGTAAGAACGAAATGTCAAAGTCCTGTCTTTATCTACCCACGGTGGATGTGAGTAGATAAAGATACTGTATAGCCTTGACATTTCTAAAATCTTCGCTGACAAATGAAAACGGGAACTCCCTTGTAGGACTTGTTGCATGACCCCAATGAATATGTGACATATAAAGTAGAACTTTTTGCTTTGGCTACAAAAAAGATCAAACAGAGAGAGCTAGTCAAAATCATCATAAATTGCCATGTAGACTCACAATTGATTCTCCCTAAAATATGTCTGAAATTATCTGTAATTTACAATGTTCTTATTCTTTGCGTGAGCATAATAATAACCTTTGTTCAGTGTCTTCTGTTCTTTATTTATTCTGAACATGGTGTGTCATGGCCTTGGGCTAGTACAACAAATATACTGATTGATTGAGATATCTTAGGCTTGGCCCCTGTGGGTACTTGTAACTAAAATTTGGTATATCTATAACTTTTTATCCTAAATTTTCTGACAGAACCAAATATGCTATAAGTGTTTGGATAATAAAAATAGTGTTTTCTTCTTCCTCTGCATTATCAACAGCTACTATATTTCTCTTACTTCTAGAAAGAAAAAAAGTCTTTGTTTAATGAAAAAGAATCACATTTTGATTTCCCAGAATGAACAAAGGCTTTACTAAATCATAATGTCCCTAAACATCATGAATCAAATCATCTCATTCCAAAATCAACATATTTTTCTAGGTTAAAAATAATGTTAACATTTATTTTCAAAACATGTGACAACCCTCCCATCAATAAGAAAGCTAGACTACGTACTCTAGCTAAACAGAATACAATCCATTATGGATGTTTCAGAAAGGACAATTCAAAATGTGTAAGGAAAACAAGCTTCTCTTTTTGATTGAATGACAAATCTTATGAAAGAACCTCGAGTCACCTTTGCAGCTGTCATTTCAGTCTATCAACCTTACTGGAGTCAATTTTGAGAGCTGGGATGCTATAATGGTTTGAGTATTGCACTAAAACTTGAGAATACCAGGGCTGGAATCCCCATTTGGCCATGTAACCCACTCTCTTAGCCTGAAAGGAGATAACAGCAGACCCCCTGAATAAAATTTTAGCAAGGTGTGTATTAAGTTGTTGGTTTTAAGTTGGCAAAGCTATAAAAATGTGTTACATATATCTTTCTTCTATTTACATAGTAATTTGATGCTAGATATTTCAACGAGATTAAGATGATTATTATTATTATTATTATTAAACTTTATTTGTACCCCGCTAGCATCTCCTGCAGGACTCGATGCGGCTTACAAAGGCCAAGGCCTCAACAACAATACAACAATACAACCTAGGCAAATTAAAACAATTAAAGCAATCTAAAACAACAATCAGTGAACAATCCACTAAGACACAATAAAACTGGGCCAGGTCAGAGTAAGGGTACAAGGGTTAAAAGTGCTGATGTGACAGGTGGAAATAAGGCTTATGGACAAGTGCAGTGTGCAGTGTGCGGTGGTCTTGGCTTTAATAAAGTGCTTGTGGGACTTGGTAATGGAGGTTTCCTATTCGGGAAAGGCACATCGGAACAGCCAAGTCTTCAAGTTCTTTCTGAAGACTGCCAATGTAGGGGCCTGTCTAAGATCTTTGGGGAGGATGTTCCAGAGTTGGGGGGCCGCCACGGAAAAGCCCCTGTCTCGAGTCCCCACCAAGATAGGACTTTCAGTGTGTTCTCTCTAACTAAATTACTGGGACAATGCAAACTGTAATGAAATCCTGTTTCTTATCTTAAGATCTCATAGTATTGCTTTCCAATTTATACAACGCCTAATAATGAAGGCCTGAAAGGGAACATCAACAACTATATTAAAGAGTACTTGAAATTTCAGGGGTCTTTTATTACACTCCAAACCTTTCTAAATGTAGCTGTCGTTTCTTGCACACTGCATTCCAAGCTATTGAGTTTTAAGTTGGGAAAGACATAAACAGCCTTTAAACTATAGTGATTGTTTCAGAAACCTACCACTTCAAAAGCAATATGATACTATTTACACTATTAACAAACGTACTGTGACATAAGCATTCTTGGGCTAAAGTCCACTTCAGCAGATGCATGGAATTTAAAGGCACAATTGCTTAACTAAAACTTCATTCAGGAGTCTCAGGATAGCAAGTAAGTAATAGCAGCTCACAGGGCACTCTTATACATGTCTGTTTAGAAGCCATAGTTCAGTTCAGCCTTATTCCCAGGTAAATTTGCACAAGGCCATAGCCAGCATTACTAATGTCATTTGACAAACCCATTCTCAATGTGCTGTCACCAGTCTCTCCCTGTTAAACAGAGACATCTTCTACCGCCCTTCACCTTCTTCCTTGTCAGGTATTACCAGTAATAACATACACATAATGAAGGTCTTAACGTTCTAATTCAGGCTTGTTCAACTTGCAGCCCATGGCCCACATGCAGCCCAGGATGCCTATGAATGCTGCCCAACACAAAATTATAAACGCATTTAAAACATGGCATTTTTGTGATTTTTTTTCAGTAGCTCAAATGTGCAATTCTTAACTGTGAACCTTGTAGATGACAACAGAACAGACTGGAATAATCTGAGTATGTTACACCCACAAATATCAGAGTATCTGCATTATAATTGTAAACAGTTTGGCCAGAAGACCTTAATGATTTTAAAAGACGCTTCAAACCGGGCAGTGCATAGTTTGGATTGTTATGTGAGGACTTTTTCTGTTTATCTGTGGTGGCAGATATTACAAAAATAATCCACAATATTTTTTAAAAATCATCAGCTATCATTGCTGTTAGTGTATTTTGTGTACGACCCAAGGCAATTTATCTGCTTCCAATGTGACTCAGGGAGGCCAAAATGTTGGACACCCCTGTCCTAATCTATTCCCTAACTATGATTTTTTTTTAAAAAAAAATCCAACATATGCTTTCTGCACTCCTGCAAGATTAACAGAGAAAAAGAAATAATTTTATTGGACTCAATACACCCAAATTCTTGCCAAGGATAGTGGCCCTGTGAGAGAGTGATGTTGTTGTTGTATGGTTTCAAGCTGTTTCTAACTTTTGGCAATAGAAACATGGGGGGATCAAACAAAATATACCTTTGTTGAGACTTTTTTGTGTCAGGAGTGACTTGAAAAACTGCAAGTCGCTTCTGGTGTGAGAGCATTGGCTATCTGCAATGATGTTGCCCAGGGAATGCCCAAGTGTTTCGATGTTTTAGCATCCTTGTAGGCGGCTTCTCTCATGTCCCCGCATGGGGGGCTGGAGCTGACAGAGGGTGCTTATCCACAGTCTTCCCAAATTCGAACAGGCAACCTTCAGGCCCGGCACAAGGGTTAAACCCATTGCGCCACCAGGGGCTGAGGCTGAGAGACTGTTACTTGTTCAACCTCCCCAACTGTATTTCTATGACTGTGGATTCAAATCTTGGTCTGCAAGAATCCTAGTCTACTATTCAAACCACTACACCACATTGGCTTTTACAACAGGTGTGTGCAAAAAGGATTTTTGCCCACCACGGAACTTACACCTCAATTCCTGTTTCTTCTCATCAGTTAAAAGCACTGGAGACCTGCCTTCTCTTTAATGTGGCCATCTCACTAGAAATTCTGTGCACTGGAGTTTTCCTCCCATAGTACAATTCTGCTTCCTCAGACAGAATAACGCATCTCTGTGGTCACAGAATTAAGCAGCTACAGCTGTATTTCTAGACAATTATGGAGGTTCACAGACACTGCCCAAAGCTCCCGGCCAATCATTTCATGCATATGTACTAAAAATTGAAGGGTGTTGGGTGTTTTAGGCTGATAACCAGGATCATCTACCAAGTCTAGCCATTAACAGAAGATTCCTGCAAAATGCTATTGCTTGATATGTATCCAGGGGCAAGGCTTTCAGGGTGTCTCCCAGAGGAACTCAAAGAAGTAATTCTGTTAATCTTTTATGGTATAAAAAGGATGTAGAAAGGGGGAAGAAAAAAGTGTTGCCGCACTTTTAAGATTAACTGGTTTATATTTTAGCATGAGCTTTTATCTTCAGGTGGTGTATAGTGCTCTCAGAGTCTCAGGTACAAAGCATATTTCTATAGTTGTGAGAGTGGGGCAGAATGTAACAATATGCAGAAATATGCAAATATCAAATCTTTCAAAGGGCTGAGTGAGATGATACAAATGATTCAGCTCTTTACAGCAGTCAGTTAATGTTGATAATAATAATAATATTTTATTTATACCCCACCACCATATCCCCGAAGGGGCTCAGGGCAGCTAACATGAGGCCAACCCCAAATAATTACAATAAAGCGAAGAAAGTACATACAAAGCAGACAATAACATCAAATAAAAATGCCTAATAATAACATAATAATGCATAAAATAATGACAATAACATAATAAAAGCAAAGTATAAAATGCTAAAGGAATTAAACAAGGGCAAGTATGTTTATTCATACCCTGCTTTATCCCTCCCAAAGAAGACTTTATCCCTCCCACATAATTTAAAATATATAAAAATGCAAACATTAAAACAGTATTAAAATTTCAGTTAAAATCCATTAAAACATATTACAAGCTAAGAAGTTGAAGTATGAAAAAAAATCAATGTCCTTAAAGGTGATGTGTTGTTTGTTCTGCCCCACAATCACACAATCTCTCTCCCTCCCCCCCCCTATATATACATACACACAGTATATGTATATCATGTGATATATACATGTGCACGTGCACACACTCAAACTCAGGGACATGCGTGTCTGCATGCATATAAATACTTTCTCTATAAATATATATATAGATGCTGAGTTGTTTGTTCTGCTCCACACTCATTGTGTGTGCCTACATAGACATAGATACACACACACACACAGAGTATATGTATACCGTATGATATATACATGTGCCTGCACATACACTCAAACTCAGGGACAAGTATGTTTGCGTGCATATACATTCTCTCTCTCTCCCTATGCTGAATTGTTTGTTCTGCTCCACAATTACACAATGTGTGTGTGTGTATCTATCTACAGACAAACACACACATTGTATATATGTGTGATATATTCGTGTGCACGCACGCACACACACTCAAACTCAGGGACAGGTATATCTGCATACATAGACATATACAGAGACAAACACTACTTTATAGGCAGTCTACGGTGCATTAAGAGTCTCTGGACCATAATAATAATTTATTATTTATTAACTATATTTATACCCCGCCCTTCTCACCCCAAAGGGGACTCAGGGCGGCTTACAAACTACAGCAAAAATTCAATGCTGCATCATGCACATAACAATGAAGATACCATATAAAATTATAAAACAATTAAAACAGTAATACAGATTTTTTTTGTCATGTCAGGAGAGACTTGAGAAACTGCAAGTTGCTTCTGGTGTGAGAGAATTGGCCATCTGCAAGGATGTTGTCCAGGGGACGCCTGGATGATCTGATGTTTTATCATCCTTGTGGGAGGCTTCTCTCATGTCCCCGCATGAGGAGCTGGAGCTGATGGAGGGAGCTCATCCGCCTTTCCCCGGATTCAAACCTGCGACCTGTCGGTCTTCAGTCCTGCCGGCACAGGGGTTTAACCCACTGCGCCACCGCAGTGGGTTTAATACAGATTAAAAGCCTACAAGTGCCTCGGCATGATTTCCAAACTTCATAGTTTCCCCATAGTTGTTATACAGACTCCAAGGTTAGAATGATATAGTAACTAAAGCCATCCCTCCCTAACAAGCAGTCAACCAATTCCCTCCCTCCCTCCTTGACACAACCTAAATTTCTGATAAAATATGGTCTTATGGGTTGTTATCATGAGGTAAGGTGGTACAAACTGCTGTAGCAAAGATACAATGAACAGATCCGAATCAGAAGAGCTTGCTGGAGATGTTTTGGCCTCTTCTATAGCAGCCTCAGCAGCAGAATCCTCTAGTTCTGCCTCAGCTTTTATAGCTGCACCGTCCTGGAGTTGGTTAGTCACTCCCAGCTGGGAATGGCCTTCCTCATGAGGAGCCCCAAAGCCAGGGGCAGGAGAGCTGGCTGGAGATGTTTCAGCCTCTTCTATAGCAGTCATTGACAATAAAATGTCATTGTTGTTGTACTATACAGGCAGTCCCCAAGTATGTTTGTCCTTAAGTTGAATTTGTTTGTAAGTCAGAACAGGTAAATTTTTAAGTGGAACTCTGGACACATACACACACATATATACAGGCTTTGGACTGCATAGGGAAGGATTTACACCCCCTGTGGTGTTTGTTTTGCTGTCTGAGATATATATATATATATATATAATTTTGGATAGCATAGAGAAGGGGTTACTTTAGCTGTCTGTGTCTCTGTTAAGAAGATTTCACCACACTTTGGTTTGTTGTGGAAACAAGAATGGGTAAGAAGTGCTGGTGTTGACCTATAAATCCCTAAACGACTCCGGCCCAGTTTACCTGTCCGAACGGATTCTCCCCTATAAACCATCAAGGTTGTTAAGATCTTCTGGAGGGGGTCTGCTCTCGGTCCCGCCATCTTCGCAATCGCGTCTGGTGGGGACGAGGGACAGGACCTTCTCGGTGGTGGCCCCTCGGCTCTGGAACTCTCTCCCATTGGAGATTAGAACTGCCCCTTCCCTCCTGACCTTTAGAAAGTTGGTGAAAACCTGGCTTTGGAATCTGGCATTTGATGAGTGAGGCAATGGCTTTTGACCACATGGACGGATGGGGATGAATAGTGATTTTTATGCTAACGACTGTACTTTATATAATTATATGATAGTACTTTAATGTGTTTATATTAGTGTATTATTGATGTGGTGTTTTTAAATTATTGTGTATGAACCCCTTGTTGTAAACCGGCCTGAGTCCCTCGTTGGAGGTGAGAAGACCAGTACATAAAAGTTCTAAATAAAATAAATAAGAAACCTTCAGTGGAGACACCTTTTCCCCATGATAATAACTCTTCCAGGAGTTAATTTCCCTTTGTTGCTAGCTATTATTGTTATGTGGACAATTTCAACAGAAAGGAAGAGACCATGAAAATGAACAAAATCTGGCTACTAGTATTAAAACTCTAAAATTACAACAGCAAAACAGCAGAGAGGAAACAACCAGGCACATCTTAACACCTCTCAACAAAAGTTTTCCCAGGCTCAGCCAGGCCTTCAAATGCTAATGAAGGTGGTCAGTTGAAACATTCACACCTGGCTCCAGCAGAGAAAGCTCTTTGCCCCACCCCAGCCATTCCACAGATATATAACCCCATTGTCCTAATTCCAACAGACCTCACTACCTCTGAGGATGCTTGCCATAGATGCAGGCGAAACGTCAGGAGAAATGCCTCTAGAACATGGCCCTATAGCCCGAAAAAACCCACAAGAACCTAGTGATTCCAGCCATGAAAGCCTTCGACAATGTATGAGGAATGTTTGTAACATGGGGACTACGTAGATACATATATATTCAGATATATATAACCGGGCATGGGCAAACTTGGGCCCTCCAGGTGTTTTGGGCTTCAACTCCCACAATTCCTAACAGCCTCAGGCCCCTTCCTGGGCCCCCCTCAGCTTAAGCGGCTGAGGGGGAAAAGGAAGGGGCCTGAGGCTGTTAGGAATTGTGGGAGTTGAAGCCCAAAACACCTGGAGGGCCCAAGTTTGCCCATGCCTGGTGTACACACACTCACAATATACACACATACAGAAAATCAGGGCCATGTCTGTCTGTATGCAGATACATATACACAAACACTACAGAGATACATGTACAAACCGAGGGTCATGTATGTATGTGTGTATAGAAGCACACCCTGGGCAGCTGCAGAGAGACAGAGGCGCCTAGGCCTTCTCCTGCTGCTCCTCCTCACCTGGTGCTCCTTCACCACCTGGCTGAGGCAGGGATACCTCTCCGAGATCCATCGGTAGAACTTGGGCACTCCCATAGCGACGGCCAAGCGGCTTCTTCACCTCACCTAACCCCAGAAAGAGACCCCTTCCCTCCTCCTCCTCCTCCTCCAAGCTTCCCTTCCGCCTCCCACGAACCCCAAGCGGCTCTCCTTCTCCCTCAGCCTCTTCCTCCTCGACGCTTCCTTCCTTCCTTCCGCCCAACCCGCTTCAACCAATCAGCGGCGGCTGCGGCGGCGGAAACAAAACAAACACGGCGCGCTCGCGGGCTCCCCCTCTCGGCGGCCGCGGGAACTGCAGCCTTGTGGGAGGACTGAGCTCAAGCCCAGCTGGGGGAAAAACAGCAACTAATCCAGCTGGAAACGAAACTGTTGCTGTTGGAAGCTGTGGAGGAAAACATGCCAACAAGCTGCTGCTGCTGCTTGACGTCCAAGATTAAAAGGCCCCTTCCACACAGCTGAATAAAATCCCCCATTTTCTGCTGTGGCAGTGTGGACTCAGACAACCCAGTGTTGGGATTCAACCCCACACTGCCCAAGTCTCAAGTCCTCAATGAGGAACAGTTTAGTTAGCTTTGGGCCCTTCCACACAACCCTATATCCCAGAATATCAAGGCAGAAAATCCTACATTATCTGAGTGTTATTTATTTGTTGTGTCAGGACAACCAGTCAAATTATATTACATTTCTAACAGAACAAAGCAAACAAACGAACAGACAAAATACAAAATTTGTGAGTTTGGTAGTTGATTAAATGTCCTTTGACCAGTATCTGGCCACTTGGAGTGCTTCTGGTGTTGCTGCAAGAAGGTCCTCCATTGTGCATGTGGCAGGGCTCATGTTGCATTGCAGCAGCTGGTCAGTGGTTTGCTCTTCTCCACACTCGCATGTTGAGGATTCCACTTTGTAGCCCCATTTCTGAAGGTTGACTCTGCATCTCGTGGTGCCGGAGCGCAGTCTGTTCAGCGCCTTCCAAATCGCCCAGTCCTCTGTGTGTCCAGGGGGGAGTCTCTCATTTGGTATCAGCCATTGGTTGAGGTTCTGGGTTTGAGCCTGCCACTTTTGGACTCTCGCTTGCTGAGGTGTTCTCAGCGAGTGTCTCTGTAGATCTTAGAAAACTATTTCTAGATTTAAGTCGTTGACGTGCTGGCTGATACCCAAACAGGGGATGAGCTGGAGATGTCTCTGCCTTGGTCCTTTCACTATTGGCTGCTACTTCCAGGCGGATGTCAGGTGGTGCAATACCGGCTAAGCAGTGTAATTTCTCCAGTGGTGTAGGGCACAGACACCCCGTGATAATGCGGCATGTCTCATTAAGAGCCACATTCACTGTTTTAGTGTGGTGAGATGTGTTCCACACTGGGCATGCATACTCAGCGGCAGAGTAGCACAGCGCAAGGGCAGATGTCTTCACTGTATCTGGTTGTGATCCCCAGGTTATGCCAGTCAGCTTTCGTATGATATTGTTTCTAGAACCCACTTTTTTGCTTGATGTTCAGGCAGTGCTTCTTGTAGGTAAGAGCACGGTCCAGAGTGATTATCTGAGTGTGGATTCAGATAACCCATTTCAAAGCATATTTTGTGGGATTTTCTGCCTTGATATTCTGGGATATAGGGTTGTGTGGAATGGCCCTTAGAATCAACCTGTGGGTCCCCAGATGTTTTGGCCTTCAATTCCCAGAAATCCTAACAGCTGGTAAACTGGCTAGGATTTCTGGGAGTTGTAGTCCAAAAGACCTGGGGAGCCACAGGTTGAGAACCACTGGAATAGGCTGTGGGTTTCCCTTCCCCCATGTCCCCTGCATGACAGTTGGAGTGCATCTAATTTCTTTTCTTTGTTTCTGCTCTCAGTCTGATTAGTTGTTTAAAATGGATACTTTTCTATTGCAAGCTTTTTGAATCTGCCTTTTGACTTCTTACACTTTAGTATGGTATGTGCTGTGTGCTTTGAAATCTCTCTCTGCTTGGGTGTCAGGAGAGGTACAGGGCCCTTCCACACAGCCCTATATCCCAGAATATCAAGGAAGGAAATCCCACATTATCTGAGTGAGGACTCAGATAACCCAGTTCAAAGCAGATATTGTGGGATTTCCTGCCTTGATATTCTGGGACATAGGGTTGTGTGGAAGGGCCTGTAGTGATCTGTGTTTTCCCCTCTTTGAAACCTTAGAAGAGATGGTTGTTAAACTAGCTCAGACCCAGTTTTTTACTCAGAAATGTAGTTAGTTCTTTATTACTGTGATTTTTAAGATTGGACTTTGTATGTTTGCTTCCTAAGCTCTTAATTCTTTACATCACATGGCATTTCACGCTCTGCTCGCTAATGTTCAATTTTTGTATCGTGTTTGTTTTTGGATGCTCTGCATCACAAAGCAGATATTGTGGATTATCTGGCTTTATATTCTGGGTTCTATGGCTGTGTGAAAGAGCCCAAAAGCTTTCTATGAACTGGGCATTTCTGTAACTGTGGATTCTTCCACACAGCCATATAACCCAGAATACCAAGGCACAAAATTCCACAATATCTGTTTGTACTGGGTGATCTGTCCACACTGCCATATATTCCAGTTTAAAGCAGAAAAACTGGGATGTTATTCAGCCCACCATAAATACTCATCAAAAGCTAAATAGACTTTTTGGTTCATCAGGACATAGTTTCAGAACCATAGGGCTTGAATTTGATAACTGGGAAAAGGTTGAAAACAACAACAACTAGCCTGTTTGGAAAACACATTTCAGGTTTTTTATGTGCATGCACGCACACACACAGAGAATAGGATTATATTTTGGAAACAAAACATTATCAAGAGTTATGAAAATCTTCCGTATATTTGCTGTTGATTGGTCCACAACGACAAGAAACATTGTATTATTTTTGTAGTGGCCTCCAAGACTTTCAAAATGAAAAGCAACATAAAATGGTCTTAAGTAAATACGCTGAAAAGTAGCCTATAAGTAGCCTATAAAATAAAGTTCAACACATATATCTATGGATTTAATATCCAATGTTTTGCTTGCCACACTACAAAACTATCCTCCCTCTTGAGAAGTGTTTGTAGGTCATAGAAACATAGAATTATTGAGTTGGAAGAGACCTCGTGGGCCAACCAGTCCAACCCCCTGCCAAGAAGCAAGAAAATCACATTCATAGCACACTGGACAGATGGCCATCCAGCCTCTGCTTAAAAAGCCTCCAAAGAAGGAGCCTCCACCACACTCAATATGTATTAATTATCTATTAATTAAGTACCTAAACATAGTACAGTTCTTCCCAAAACACCCATAAGAACAGAGATTTCTTTGGTTAGAAGTTGTATGTTCCCTTCAGCCACTCTTCTTCCACTGATGGAAAGCCCTTTAGTACAGCTGAACTGGGAAGGTGGTTTTTCCTTTCCAAGAGGCGAAATATCAGAGTGTGGGAAATAATATGATTTCAACAAAATTGTTCCCAAAAGTATAGTCCAAATGTTTATCAGTTTCTTTTAAGTTTGCACTGAAAAAACTGAACAGATTATTATTATTAAGTTTATTTATACCCCACCTTTTCTCTCCACAAAGGAGTCTCAAAGTGGCTCAAACTTAACACCTTTTCTCTATGGAAACAATGGTGTAACAATGGCAAAGCTGTACTTAACTGACCTCGCTGCCTAGTTTCTATTCTTTCCTTTTCTGTGAAGTAGGAAACTGAGAGTAAACAGTGTCCTTTCCTTTGGCAAGGCTATAATGTAAAGCTATTTACACAGCAACAACAATGTATTATCCCTAGAATGAAAGTTATCAGCCACTGTGGTTAATGAAACTCAACTGATGGCAGTTTTGGTTTGGAGAAAGTTCAAGGCCCTTTGACAGGCGGTGTTATGTTTGTGCTGTGGAAAACGTCATATATTCATTTCTGCAAATCCTGCTACTGATAATGCTACACAAGCAGAATATCTGACCAAATCAGGCATTCTGATTAGAAGCCACACTCCGGACTGCACGGTAAGGTTAATGTAGCCGATCAGGAAGGCTGAAATAGTAACGAACTGGCATATGGGTGTGTGTATGTGTGTATCCAGAATCCTATTAACATTTTATAGATGAGGTGCAAAAATATATACATGGAGAGAATTTCTATTTGGTATTGCATTCCCTATAGGCATTATGATACTTTCAAACACAACTTACAAGCATAGAAGGATGATAAATTTAAATAAAGCATTGCCACCACTCCCCTGGTGCACATACTTTAACATGCTTTTTTACTCCTCAAAGCAACAATACTATATGTCAGCCACCGTGATATCATTGTGCATATTGTATTTAATACAAGGTGATATTTAGGTACAAAACAGAAAACAGTGTTTCAAATATATAAATGAGTTTTCGAATATACAAATAGAAAATATTAACATACAAGTATACAGTATAAACAATGCCATGCACGTAATGAAAGTCTTGCAATGGCAGAAACTTATGAAGTAGAAACGGCTCTTTCTATCTCTTAAAAATGGCAGTTGCCGCAACTAATTTGCAAATGGCAGCATTTCACATATATGGAGCCCATCCAAGGTACATCTGGCACAGCAAGGTCTCATCAGTTGCATCTTGGATAAGATGGTGAACATGTCCTTCAATAGACAAAGGCAGGCCTTTTACTCTATTCCTGTTTTTAATTACACCTTGTAGTCGCTGATCAATATCCTGGACATGGGTCTTGGCCTAGAAACAAGCAAACCACAACCAATTATTAACAAAATGTTTTCATTTTTTTCAGTAACAACAGTTCTAGGTCTCCGCATCCCTTTCCCAGCAAAACTGAAGTAGTGGGTAAAATCTATTTCTGGCTCCAGTTTCCTACATGATTTGTGAATTCTTCATGTTGAAGAATTTAATTCTAGGTTGGATTACTGTGAGTTTTCCAGGCTGTATAGCCATGTTCCAGAAGCATTCTCTCCTTCACGTTTCACTCACATCTATAGCAAGCATCTCAGAGGTTGTGAGGTCTGTTGGAAGCTAGTCAAGTGAGAATTATATATCAGTGGAATGTCCAGGGTGGGAGAAAGAATTCTTGTCTGTTTGAGGCAAGTGTAAATGTTGCAAATGGCTGCCTTGATTAGCATTGAATAGCCTTGCAACTTCAAAGCCTGGCTGCTTCCTGTCTTGATTCTAAATCAAATCAATTCTAAATCAATAGTTGATTTGACTTACTAAATTTGAAAGGTATGTGGTGCTTTAGAAGGTGTTCATTTTATTAGTGTTACAAAGAAATATTCATATTTTAGTAATATAAAGAAACATAGGCCATTTAGTAATATAAACATTAACCTAGGCCATTAAAAATGCCAACCAGTTTGGTGGACCTCAATAGTCTTTCAAAATACTTACACCATAATATATTTTAAAGATTTAATGATGCCACAAGGCACTCTGTATATTAATTTATACTTCTGTGGCTTTGTGGACAAAGATACTGTCTTGTATCCATGACAGCTGCTCCCAGTCCAGATCTTTGCAACAACAGTGATTATAATTGCTTTAGTGAAATCTGAAGGTCAATGCAATCAGACTGAAGTCTCAGCTGATTTGAGCAAGATCATATGATTGATACTCCTTGACATTAAATAGCATAATGATAAGACTTAAAGCACAGCTGTGTTTTAGCCATTATTCCTGAATGATAGGACAGATAAATGAAAGATTTTCACTAAACCTCATCATTACAAAGGCAATAGTTGCACAGAGAAGAACAAAAATCCCAACAGAAAGGTGACACCACCCATTTTATATGGCTTTCTATCCACGTTACAGCTGCTACTTCATGTTACAGGATGTACTTCTTGTCAAAGAATTCATCCTGCCTATCACTTAACTTCTGATACTGGATTTGGGAGGAAAACTGAATAATGATATGAAGTCAATATTCTTATCTATGGCAACCTGAACCCCAACTCAGCTCACCTTTTCATTGACAATTTCTCCGGTTTCATTCACTAGGGATTTTGAACTGCCTCTTGCTGGTTTACTCCACTCCACCAAAGGATCATGGAGAAAAGTTTTCAAAACACTAGATAAAATTTTGAAAAAATGGGAATCGGTTGTCTGAGAAAATATCTTCAATTACAGTTGAAGTAAAACATTTTCTATATACATCTCAACCTCTATGTTGCATTATAAATCACTGTACAATATACAATTGACTGTTCCTTCAAAAAGCTTTAAGCAACTTTCCTATGGTTCCCAAAGATTCTCTATCTACGCAACTAATAAGGCAACTCTGTTTAATTTCAGCAACAGAACTGTGACATGCATTTAAAGCCATGCCACTTTATTTGATTTAGAATAGTAAAGGTAAAGGTTTCCCCTTGACATGAAGGCTAGTTGTGTCCGACTCTGGGAGGTGGTCCCCGTCTCCATTTCTAAGCCCAAGAGCTGGCATTGTCCACTGACACTTCCAAGGTCATGTGGTCAGCATGACTGCACGGAGTGGTGTTACCTTTCTGCCCAAGAGGTATCTATTAATCGAATCACATGTTGCATGTTTTTGAACTGCAAGGTTGGCAGAAGCTGGGGCTAACAGCGGGAGCTCACTCCACTCCCTGGATTCGAACTTCCCACCTTTTAGTCAGCAAGTTCAACAGCTCAGTGGTTTAACCCACTGCGCCATTGGGGGCTCCTGTGATTTAGATTAGAAATCTTATTTTGGCTCTTGTTTTGCTTATTTTATTTTAATTTATCACACACTGACAGTATAACCGTATAAAATCTATCCAAAAGTAAGTACAAACAGTTAATACAGCTCCCTTCTAAACCAGGGTGTATAAAATGAAGCTGATAATAAGGAATAGATCTTAAGTGTGGACATATCGCTGATCCTAGCTAAACCTTCAAAAAAAGGTAGCAAGATTCAGCTAGAAGTAAGACATTCCCCACTCAGCACACAATCAGCTCTTTCAAATAAAACCCATCAACTTTAAAACACCTTAAGAGCAGAAGAAAGTATAGGCAGTATAACAACAGTAGTAATTATATGTATCTCACCATTTTTTTCATTAGAAAGAGAAAAATTACATTGGTTTTAAAAGCTTATGCTATTAATGAAATAATCTACTCTGTCACAATACCTCATTAGTGGTTCTCTCTGGTCACGCATGAGTCTTAATGTAACTTCACAAGCCCTTCGGAAAAGACCTTCAGTTCCCATTGGACCCATCCCATTGACCATGTTATGAGTCAGGCGAAACGGGACAACCTCTGGAAAATCAAAAGTTTCTCCCTTCAAATGAATAAGAAAAAAATTATTTTGAAAGTAATTCTACCATAGTATAATCAAGTTGCATTCTTGTAAATTCATGGTGCGGTATCACAGCATTTCTGACTCACATGAAAATTAACTAAAGCTCTGAATTTTCATGCATATGGATAATGATATCCTATTGGTGTTTTGATGTGTGGAAAAATAGTATAGAAATCAAGTTTGTGTATCTTTTTGGCAAATCATTCAGTGAAACTGAAATAGCTGAAAATTAAACTTGTCTCAGAAGGAATTGCAAAAGGAATTGAACTTAAGTTATGTTATATTCATAACATAACGTAAGTTCAAAGATTGTAACACTATGCAACAAAATTTGAAAAAAAAATCGGTTCCTGGTTTGAAAGTGTTATTTCCTGTTTAATTGTGTAGTGCTTTCTTTGAAAGTAGTTGTGACACTCCAGAAATTTTGTTTTTGCGCCTGCCACAAACTATGTTGAATTGGTTGAGACTCGATGACACATTTATTGAAAAACTATAGCAAAATGTTCTGCAGAGTGTCCCCCAAAACAAAGTTTTTGCACTTTAATAAATATTTTCCATGTTTTTATGACAGAACTCATTAGGAAATGGCATGTATAACCCAGGAACAAAAATTGTGTAGCTTAGTGTCATTGTTTCACTTATCATTATGTATGATGTCTGTGTAAGTTCTTCCAACCGTAAAACATTTGAAAGACAAAACAATTAAATGAAAGAGAAATGATAAGATGTAGATTTAATATCTCACCTTATTGAACAGACAGTTGAAATCCACATGCACACAGTCACCGGTTAAAGAATCAAACAAAATATTTTCCCCATGACGGTCTCCAAGGCCCAGAATGTACCCAACCATTGACATCACAGCAGTGGAACGGCAATACGCTGATCTGCTGCTGTACCTAGAAAGAGCAAATACCATGGGATGCTAGTGTCATTTTGGCATTGGTGGAACAATGTATAGATAAGGAAGGTTTGTGGATAGAGAAAATAATTACATTTCTTTGCCTTTATGGCTTCTGCTGAATTAAAATCAGTCCTATTTTTAAACCTTTCACTTTACAGCAGCCTAACTGCAACTGCTGGTGACAAATCTATACCAACTCACCATGAAGTGGGATCAGGGAATTTTCTCAGAAACCATTCGTGAAAGATTGGAGGGTGACGGGGAAGTAGAGTCTCTTTGTAAACTTTCAGCTTTTCAGACAAAGGTGTTGTCTTTGGAAGCATACACTGACGCAGTTCTTTTCCAGTCATATAGATACCTACACAAAAAGAGAGAATTAGACAAGCTGGTCCTATTCAGCTATGATAGCCAACAATAGCTGGTGAACTATGCTAGCAAAGCAACACTGCTTCTATACACTTAATCTTGTTTACATTATTTTATTAATAAATGAATTAATAAATAAAAGCAGGCTAGCATGTTGTATTTAGGACTTCTGTACATCCCACTCTTTTTTCCACTTGCTCTTGTTTTCCTTTGCAGATTTTTTCCCACCATTTAGAACAAGTTGTTTGTTTACCTTTCTCCTTGTATAACTTGATCAGGATGTTTCTTAAGCCCGAGGTGTTGTTCACCCATTCAATGATTCCACATTCTTCATTCAAAGGAATAACAGCATACGTCCGGATGTGGAGTTCTCGTCTCCGTGACTCTGCATCCTTTCTTAGACACTATTGTAGAAATCCATTATCAACCGTGAGAGCAATATAAAAAAGATAGTTTCATTTTTGTTTCAATGTTTTGTCTCTTACAACCCAAACAGGTCCTGAATGACTACAAACTTAGTACACAAATATTACTTGCTTTCTTAATTTTTATCAAAGAGAGAAACAACAGGACAGGATTCAAGGAGTAAAAAGAACTTCTCCATAAGCTTTTACTCATATACAGCTGGCATCATTTTAAAATTGACAAACGCTATCTATGCAGCATGACTATAAGGAACAAAAACAGGGCATAAGTCTCTGGTATTCAAAAACTGTCTTTTAAAATTATCATACACACACACACACACACACACACACAAGGATGAGTCAAAAAGTTTTGCCTCCTGTGTCACAAAAATGTTATGAATGAACATTTTATTTATTTATTTATTTACAGTATTTATATTCTCCCCTTCTCACCCTGTAGGGGACTCAGGGCGGATTACAATGTGCATATACATGGCAAACATTCAATGCCATAGACACACAACATTTATATAGAGACAAACACAGAGGCTATTTAACATTCCAGCTTTTTCATGAGGGTATTCTGGCCACCAGGGGAGCTGTCGCTTCACCACCCATTTGTGACACTGATGAAGTACTTCCTCATTCTTTGCATGCCTGCTGGAGATTTTTATGGCGTCGTAAATTAGTCTCCCCGCGTAAGCGGTACCTAAATTTCCTACTTGACAGATGCAACTGTCTTTTGGGCTGCAAAGGTCTACAGCAAGCTACACAAATTGGTCGGAAGCTCACCCCAACTCAGGCTGGCTTCGAACTCATGACCTTTTGGTCAGTAGTGATCTTAATGCAGCTGACTCCTAGTCAGCTGCGCCACAGTCCTGGTGCAGAAGTTGCTACAGATCATAGCCTGAACTGTCCTCTACGCAAAATTACCGGTCAACATAGTCACCATTAATTTGTAAACGTTTGTGTTATTGTTTAACCTAGACATCAAAACCATTTTGGAAAAATTCAGGGTTTTGCTTCGTGACCCATGATTTTAAAGCTGTTTTAACATCATTCAGGTCATTGAATCTGAAACCACGTAGGTTGTCTTTCAGAGGTTCAAACACGTAAAAGTCAGAAGGGGCCAAATCATAAACATTCTTCAAGCAATTATGGATTTCCTTAGGTGAACAACCTTCTTTTGCCAAAAATACAATGATGACTCTTTTAGCTTCAGATTCATAGTTCTAATCAGCCAATCGGAAAAAGTAAAGACTATATCAGTAGAGTAAGGTTACTTCTATGCATAGATATTCCAGTAGCTGTGAAAGAAATAAAAGCTAGAGTGACTGAGGCATTACTTTTTGACCTACCCTCATACATATACATATACATATATATCTAGAGAGGGGGAGAGAGATGCACATATATACATGGATATAGTGCGTAGTCGTTGTATATACATGCACTATTCTTGAGAGGAAAATAATATTGGTGCTATGATAAAGGGGAAGGGGTTCTGAAAGAAGTTCCTACAGCCAAAGTGTTATGTGTTTTGTACAAGTGGGAGCAATTTACAAATTTGCATACATAAACACAGACAGTGTTTAGTTTCAGTCACTCATTTTATAGGTTTTGTAAAAATCACACTGCCCATACACAGTCCCAGTTCAAATGGAGTCCACCAATATCCAGTTTTTTAAAAATACATTTGAAAATAAATGAACCTTATTGATCAGGGAATTGAATTCCATCAATCGACAGTCCTTTCTCAGGTCATCTTTGGGCTTACACATCATGATATAGGATTTCCCATCTGAGCCTTTTAAAGTAATCTTCTTTGGTTTCTGAAGTGATGGAAGGATTTCAACCTTGACAGACAAGACAGCCATGGTTATTTAAAGATTGTGTTTATACTTAAATGTACAGTTTCACCCATGTAATTCATATAATCCTAAAATACGACTGAAAGGGGCTACTCAGAGATCCATGAACCTCCTCCATTTCTGGAGTCTTTTTTTCCTCTTTGAATTGTATATTATGGTGGACAGTAGGTCTGGGGTCCAATATACAGTGCAGAGTGATCCTGTTGCCTATTTAAAATGTGGAGACTATATCAGGAGAGGCAGGCTACTCTTTTTTGTCTAGCAAAAAACTCGATGGAGCTCCATGAAAGCATATTGCACCCGCTTGTTTTACATATTATGCACATCTGAGGCCAAGCAATCAGCACTTAATTTTTAAATCAAACTCAAGTCTATATATATAAAAGTAGGAATACATCAATACTAACTGTATCACCAAAGCCAGCAATATAAGCCCAGCATCCAGGAAACGGATCATGATTGGAATGTGTTCCAGGAACCGAAGGGAGAGTTGGTATCATTACAGATTGCAAAGGAATAAGGATTTCACTAAACATCTGGTCTTCTACCAGCCTTTTGAGACTTTTGAAATGAACTCCCATGCTTAAGGTGGTAGTGTTACCGTCAACCTGGAAAAGAGTAAAAACATATTTCTCGAATTGATCTGTCTTAAAAGAGCTCCTGTGTCTATTTTTTTTCCATTTCCATTGAAAATGACAAAAGGTTTAAGCTATTCCTTCACTTTTGTGAAACAGAAGTGAATTCCACCACCCAAAACAAATGTAGGGGTGTGCAATGTAAATTAGAGAATGAGGGACAGAATCAACCAATAGGAAAAAAATAGCTTTTATATAGATTATTACCGGTTTGTTACATAGCTCTAGGAGTTTATCTGTTAAGCGAGCTGCATCTCCAATGAACTTCCCCAAAGATGCCTTCATATGAATAGCTTTGTTGAAGATTTCCTTGCATCTGTTTACACGCATTGGATAAGATGACTGAAAAAGAAGAAGAATTTACCAGATTTCTATACCATTTGTCTACATTTTATGGGCAGGTGATATTAACATAATAGCAACACAGCTTATATGACTGAAACAACAGCATTAAAACAATACAAAACTTCATCGAGAAGTTAAAACCTTGGGAAAATAAAAGACGTTTGTTCTCAAGGATAAGGAAGACATCACCACCAAAAAGGCTTTCTTTCCTTGAGTATCCCATTACAAATCAAATGGAGGTCTATGAGAAAGACTCCAGTTCAGATGAAAAATGCCACTTAAAGTATCGAGAAACATGACATTGGTAACTCAATTACAGATATCTGCTAACCTCAACAAATGACTCAGTCACTGCATACAATCATGCTGCAATCATGACTTTTTTAGTGTCAGGAGCAACTTGACAAACTACAAATCGCTTCTGGTGTGAAGAATTGGCCATCTACAATAACATTGCCCAGGGAACGCCTGGATGTTTTACCATCATTTGGGATGCTTCTCTCATGTCCCGGCATGAGAAGCTGGAGCTGACAGACAAGAGCTCACCCTGCCCCTTGGATTCAAACCACCAAACCTTCTGTCACAGTCTTGCTGGCACAAGGCTTAACCCACTGCGCCACCACGGAGTGACAATTATCACCAATCACAAAAAGATAATGAAAATTAAGACTGTAACAGCAATAGGTAATTATTGTGTTCCATCTTCCTGATTCTTTTCATTCTTGGACGCAGATGAGGCAAGGAGATCCATGAAATACATCAAAGAAAAAAGCAACATTTGTGCAAAATAATGCAAGTATGTATTTATTCTGAAAAGGAAAAGGGAAGTGTACTGAAAGGAGACACACAATGATGTTTGTGAAATCACCTTAGAAACAGCAGTCATCATCCACATAGCTTGTTGAGGGTATGCTACGAAAACCTTAGCAATTATTGCCATAAGGACCACAAAGACTTCATCGTGCGAGTGGCAAATTCGGGAGATCAGTTGAGAGAAAGCTGTTAAAAACTGATACGGTGCTAAGAGCTGCGTATGCTCTGCAATCGCCTTGTTGATTTTAGCCAAGTCATTTCTCATTTGAGTACGATCTTGACGACCAGCTAGGTAATACAATGCACAGTATCAGTATTGTATTTCACGCCCCGCAAAAAACCCACAAAAAAACCCCAAAGAAAAACAGACAAATGAACCTAACACTCCATTCAAATTACAGGAAAATTCAAGAAAAACCTTCACTGATCCTAAATTCATTACCATCTGAAATTTGGGGGTTTAAATTGATTCTGGGTATATCAAGAAATTATTTTTTTAATTGGATTTCTTTATAGTCTTAAACTCAAGGCAGTCAAACCTGTTCGTAATTTTAGGTTCCCAATGGAGTCATTGGGAGAACTAAACATTATCAGGAACCTGCCAATGCTGAATGTTGTCTCTATTTGACAAGAAGTGACAGTACTATTAAACTGAAATAATACCATAGTCTAAATCCATGTTAGTCCTGAATCAATTGAATTTATGTAATATTAACTTCTTCACAGTAAGAGCTGTTCGGAAGTAAAACAGACTGTGGCTGCATCTACACTGTAGAATCAATGCACCATCACTTTGACTGCCATGGCTCAGTATCAGTGTATGACACATAAGGGGATAGTTAACAAAACTACATTACACAACTGGCCCCCTGGTGGTGCAGCGGGTTAAACCGCTGAGCTGCTGAACTTGCTGATGGAAAGGATGGCAATTCGAATCTGGGAAGCGGGGTGAGCTCCCACTGTTAGGCCCTGCTTCTGCCAACCTAGCAGTTCGAAAATATGCAAATGTGAGTAGATCAATAGATACCGCTTCTGCGGGAAGGTAATGGTGCTCCATGCAGTCATGCCGGCCATATAACCCTGGAGGTGTCTCTGGACAACGCCAGCTTTTCAGCTTAGAAATAGAGATGAACACCAACCCCCAGAGTCAGACACAACTAGACTTAATGTCAGGGGAAACCTTTACATTTACTAACACAGCTGCATTAAATAAATCCATGCAGGAAATTAAAGAAATTGCCCCAAGATAACAAAATCAGAAAACATTTTTTTTAGTACACTACCTTTCTCGCATTCATATGCTTTTGCTCCAAAGTCAAGCCACAATGATAACATTCTTGGCATTGACTGATAGATGAACTGGTTTCCAAAATGTAAAGACCTGAAATTAAAAGTACCAGCTTGTTAGCCACCTGCTATATATTCCTTTACTGTCCTGATTATTTTATTTTAAATTACATACCATGAGTAAGATATTACATTCATTTCCCCAAACCTGCACCCTGTTGGTAATGGACACAATCCATCCATCCATGAAACAGCAACAGTTATTTACTTATGTATTTGAAAAGGAATTGTATCTTCTAACCTTCCAAAGTGAATAACGATATATTTAATCAAATCTCCCTGTTTTTCCATCTTGTTTTCTGTCACTGTGGGCATCAGTTTATCATAGTATTTAGCAAGGTAGAAGTGTCCATTTTCCCATTCTGGCAAGCACACGGTGACATCCTGAGGGGGAAAAAAAATAAATGAACAAAATATTTAAACCTAATCAGTTGCATTTGAACAATGCTCTGCTTGTGCATCTCCCATATGCATTTGATTGCTCATTATGGGGAAATGTTTGGCTATAAAGGCCTTTATTAGGGTCCAGCATGATTCTTTTTAAGCTGCTCTGAGCAGGTGCCAAGTCTCAAGTTTTCAAGTAATTTGATTACATAAATAAGTACTGCATTCTTAAAACCGCAGAGGGACATCTTGACCATGTTTTGAAAAACATTCAACCTGTTAAGAACAACTGGTCCTAACAAGTACACACTAAATAACACTGGATTTCAAAATAACAGAAACATTCAAAAGTTTTGTTTGTTTGCCAGCAATCTACTTCGGTATATTGCTATACAAGCATGTTAAACCATATGACTTAAATGCTGAACATTTAGTTTGTACCTTGTATTTTTTCATAACTGCATTACTTTCAAAGTTGGCTGTTTCTTCCATAAATCTTCCCACCAGCAGCAGGGCTTGTCCATGAATTAGTTTACTTTTACTGCCAGATGGTACCTGGCCATCTGGAAAACATAGGTCAACCCCCTTTTGAAGGATGATAAGACCTTGATGAGCCTCACCCTAAATTAAAAAGAAATTAAAGTCAATAATTCAATATTTCCCTTTATTAACATAACCATTATGACTCTTATGCTCATACAAATACGTTGTAACTCAGTTAGAGAAAGCCTATTGTGCAAGTAAAAGCCCATTTACTTAAAATTTATTGTCAGCATGTATATTGTGCTAAAAATTTTCGGTTTTCTTCATTGAATCATGTATATATGAATGCAAAAGGACAGAGAAAGGTTTGCTATAAATTCAGCAGTTTATGGAAATAATTGGCAGCGATTTCAACAAAATGAAGATCACACCTCCTTTTTTTTCAGAAGAAAATCATATTTGGGTTGTTGTAGGTTTTTTCGGGCTATATGCACTTTGATTCAGCGTGACAGTCCTCATAAACACATTTATGAATGATTTATTTATTATTTATTTACTCTATTTGTATACCGCATATATCAGCCTGAGGCGGCGACTCAATGCGGTTATAGTAATGATACCTATTAACATGTGCTGAATAAGAAACAGCTCCTCAAGACAGAGGTTTTCTTTTGTTTACCTTGGACCACAGCCACTTTGCTCTTTCTACATAGAGTTCAGACAGCTTTGATTCCCCAGCATTAAGGAGAGCATTGTATGCCGTTTGGTGATGGCCGGCTTTACGGGCAACTCGGGCACTTTGGAGCCAGCACTCTCCCATCCTCTCACTGTAATCCTCACTGTAGGAAGATGTGTTTTTATATGGTCAAAAATACAAAGAACTTTACCAAAGAACAAATCCTGTATGACTCTACTTTGATAATTTCCATTCACAGCTTCCTGACCTATCTCAATCAACCAGTCTAAAATTAGAGGGCGCTTCAAGAATGTGGTCCATGTACATCTTCCCATATACATTTTTCTGATGACCAGTCGTTCTGCTAAGTACATTGTGTTATTTATCATGTGGGGGCATGCAATCTGACCTTCTTTACAACAATCTTGACATTAAGAAACCCCATTATTAAAGAGAATGGAAGAAGTGGTGCACTACTTGTTGTTTACAATAATCTGGTGCAATTTAGATATATTACTGTAACTAGATTTCATTTGACACTTTTGTTCTTTGAAAAATTATTTTTAGTTTTATGGTTTTGTGAGCAGTTTCAAAAGATTAAATGAAATATACTCCCTATCTAGTGTTTATGTGTGTATATATAGCGAGAGAGAAAGAGTAAGTTTAAGAATATATATGGAAACATACACATACACACAAAATATATTACTACAATATTATGTCTGAGGAAGGCAAAAAATTCTGCCGAGAAAATACTTTGATAGGTTTACTTTAATCTCACCATAAGTCAGAAATAACAAAAATATTATTATTTTATGCATTATTATTTTATTTTTTATTCAATAAATGACTTGAAGGCACACAACTACAATATCAGTATTATAATATGGATATACCATATATGGTCGAGTATAAGCTGAGTTTTTCAGCTTTTTTAGGCTTGAGTATAAGCTTTTGGCTTATACTCAAGTCAAAGTAATTTATGATTTTACTCTGTTAACATTTTTATTACATTTACATTATGTTACTCTACTTTATTACATTTACATTATGTTACTCTATTATTATTATTATCTTTAATAATATTGGAAGGATATGTAAGCACATTTCTCTGTGTGGGCTATCCAATGCCGTTTTCTGAATCAGCACCCCAAATAACCAAACCAAATCTAAAGTTGACTAAAAACTGATTCGTAAACCTTTTGGTACTAATGTTGGAGAGTGGCCCCTGTTCAAAGTGGTCCCTGGTCAAAGAAAGTTTGGGAACCACTGTTCTAGGCAGTTTCCTTTAGATATCTTACGTGACAGACCATCTCATAGTACTGTTTATTGTTGATATAAAATAATACAATATGTCTACACAGGAAAAATAGGCTCCGGGCACATCTGCAAATTCTGGCCAACAGAATCAAAATGAAGTAGGTCCAAATCCCCATTATGCCATAAAGACTTTCCATTTGCTAGCCCTTCTTTCTCAAGATTGTTGGCAAAATAAAATGGAACGACCCCCAAAGTTCATCTCAACACATAGTTTACCTTGTTTTTGAAACATCTGGTAATGAGATTTTTAAAATTACGACATTTCATTAATTTTAGCTTAAAAGGTAAATGGAATAAGAAAAGGGAAAGCTTAAGTTTCAGGGGAGAGCACATGCAAAATAAATACAGTTTCACCTTTTATTGAGGCTGAGTAAAGCCCGTCTAAGTGCCAGGATGGGCTCTTTAACTCTGTATGCATTTTGGGTCATTTCTATACGTGCGTGCCAATTCAATGAATCTTTTCCGCCCTCATTATCAGGTTGCTGAAGCAATGGTCCAATACGATGCTCTAACTCACACAGCATGTGTAACCTTGATTTAAAAATAAACAAAATTCAATAAAATTAGAAGGTGCCTTGCATTTTTATTTCACTGTCTATCTGAGCAATTTCCTCTTTAACATCAGCAAGCAATCATTCTAGTAGTGGTATACATGATCAATTCTATTCCCATTGGAGGTCCAGCCTTCTGGGCAGAAGGAAGACTAATATCTTTTTGGATAGGTTTTCCTCATTAGAGGGGGAACAATGGTGTACTTTGGGCGCCTGGAAATCATGAAATTCTTTGCAATATATAATATCGCCAACATAAAAGCAATTCAGATCTCCACTCTATCTGGGATTGCTAGATGGACCTTTGCATAATATAACTAAAGGTAAAGGTTTCCCCTTGACATTAAGAATAGTTGTGTCTGACTCTGGGTGGTGGTGCTCATCTCCATTTCTAAGCTGAAGAACCAGCGTTGTCCGTAGAGGCCTCCAAGGCCATGTAGCCAGCATGACTGCATGGAGCGCCATTATCTTCCCGCAGTACCTATTGATCTAATCACAGTTGCATGTTTTTGAACTGCTAGGTTGGCAGAAACTGGGGCTAACAGAGGGAGCTCACCCCGCTCCCCGGATTCAAATCGCCAACCTTTCGGTCGCAAGTTTAACCTGCTGCGGCACCGGGGTGGGGTGGGGCTGCATAATATTACTCTCTACATAATGCAGATGGGGGAGTTCATGTTAATTCCACAGACCTTCTTTACAATGCTGCTGTAAGAATGAAGCATTCTGAATCTTTTAAAAAACATCATATAAATTGATGTAGATATCATATGAGGTCTAACAAAATAATAAATTCTATCAGGAATGTCATGATTTCCAGCCCACTCCTAAATACTCTCTAATAAGTGCAAGCATCCAAAGACAGTTTTACAGAACAAGGAAATGACTTCAGTTCAAATATCTGTGACATTTAAAATGTTCAGTTCAAATGTAAAAATAACAATAAAAGTGCAATTTCAAACATTTAAAACACAACATTTAGCAAATGACTCAAATAGATTTACTAGTAAAGTGCATCCTTTCGATCACAAATGTGATTCAGTCGACCGAAGACTAATATTTTATAATATTTTCTTTCTTTTCTTTCTTTTTAAATTCTTTCTCTGGTTTGGAAACAAGGGGGGGAAAAGCCAAACTATACCTTGTAATGTATTCATATCCTCGCTGATATGAACCCCTTTCAAAACTTGCTGCAGAAAGTGGAACTATCTGCTCTCCTCGGACAATTTTCAAGGTTTCATAGAAAGTGGGAGCTTCTTTCTTTTTAGCAGAGAGCAACAACTGTCCAAGTCGAATGCTCCAAGTATTCGACTTCTCATCTAATGGAGCGGGGAAAAAGGTTTTATTTTAATACAGATAATTAACACAAAACTAACCAAGATTTATTTTTTTAGATTGGCAATTGTTTTAAATTAAAAGTTTATAATAATTCTGCTAAATATATTTTTGTGCATTTCTGCCCGAAAAGACCTTTGAAGTTTTAAGTATTACATGTGCAAGTGAAAATCTCACTGGTGAATACATACATAACTAGTTCTATTTTTACAATTGACATGCCTGGAGCTTCTGTTTACTTCAACAGACAAGTGGATACCTAAAATCACTATTTTATATACCAGTGATTTCCAAACTTGGTTCGACACCTGTTGCTAGACAACAAATTCCAAAACCTTAGGCAGCACGGGCAAAGGTGAGAGAGCCTTGAAACTGCAGATCAATGATATCTGGAGATCTAAAGTTTGGGAACCATGGCTCTGCACCATTTGCCTTCAACTGGAATTCAATATGGTAAAAAAAAAATAGACATGTGCCAAAATTCTGAAAAGAAGTTCCACAGTAACTGGCAGTTGCCTTCTATAATTACAGCTTTCTAGTCCTAGCTACAAATACTATGCACTGGATGTGCCATGCTTTGTCCTTCAGATATGTCTGCATTTTATTATTATTTTACATTAGCTAGGGCCTCTTCAAAAAGAAACACAACAAAAGCAGGACAAGAGGGGTGGCTAATTTTTTAAACATATAAAACTGGCATCAATTTATATACCAAAGTTAACATCCAATCAATGATTCCCTGCAGACGAAAGGCATCTACCAACAAATTATGGAACATTTGTGATTTCCAGATATTTCTACTCCTCACAATACCTTCCTCCCCAAATATGCCCCAAAATGAACAGGAATGGCAGATTAGGCTAATGCTCCAAAATTGATCCTTTCACATTTTCACTGAGCTCTTTTCTTGACAAAGATACTACAAGTCATGACAAAAACAGCAACCTGCAGCTAGGTAGTTTTCTAGTGAATCCCACTGGGTTAGTTTCCAGGCCGCCTCCACTCTGTAGGTATTTAATTCAGGAGTCCACTCGGGTCTATTAAAGGTATAAAGCAAACATATGTCAATAGACAGAAGACAAAAAGCTTTTTTTTTCTACATGCAATTTTATAGTGAAGATAGCAATTAAACTAAGCACACACCATATTTGAAATATTTTTTAAAAGTCCGCAGGCAGAACTTTCCTTCAGCTAATGAATGAAAAGCTGATTTGTTAATGGTTATGTTGTGGGTCCCACCACACCATGTTGGCCAGTTCAAATGACAAGATTTTGTCTACAGCAGCACACCAACTATGCAACTCCATCCCAAGGAAAATCATGCTGGTTCCATATTTTGTGTTGTATTGTTTGATGAGGCCTTCAGTTCTTCAAACTAGAGGTGGGTGTTTTCGCTTTTTTATTTGAGTCTGGTTTTAAAGCTATTTTAGCAGCTATATTGGCTGCTGATAAGTTTCCAGTCCCAATTCAAAGTACAGATGATGACCTACAAAGCCCTAAACGGTTCCGGCACCGCCTATCTTCATGACCACATCTCCCCCAATAACTGGCATGGGCTCTAAGATCTGCTGGGGAGGCACTCCTCTCACTCCCACAATTGTCACAAGAATGGTTGGTGGGGATGAGGGAGAGGGCCTTCTCGGTGGTGGCCCCCCGTCTTTAGAACACCCTCCCCAGGGAGATTAGGTAAGTATCCACACTGTCTGCCTTTTGCAGGGATTTGAAATCCTGGATGTTTCAGCTAGCATTTGAAAATGACTAATAAACCCTAGTTATAAATGCCCAGCCCCTAGTTAGCCAGGTAGTACTCTGTTCCCTGTACTTCCAACTCCCTGGCCCTATGATATGCTGTTTTGCACTATCCCAATGTTTGGCCCTTTTTATGTTCAGGCCCCTTTTAGTATTTCTGGCTATTGGTCTTTGTCGAGCATTGTTTTGATGGAGTTTCTCAATACTGCTGTTTGTTTCTTATGTTTTATTTAATTGTTTTTTAAACTGGATTGTTATATTTTGCTGTTTTTATTTTATTGTGTTTTTCTTTTAATGGATTGTTTTGCTTTTATGTCTTGTGGACATTCTGTCCCATATGTACGCTGCCCAGAGTCCCTTCGGGGAGATGGTGACGGGGTATAAGAATAAAGTAGTTGTTGTTGTTATGAATAGAGTTATTTTAGTCCATTTTAAATATTCATATTTTATGTTTTAACTGTTGTTCTTCATAGATCAACTTGGGAGCCACAGGGGGCTGAAAAGTGATAAATACATGTTTTAATGGGTTGTAGTAGGGTTTTTAGGGCTATATGTCCATGTTCTAGAGGCATTCTCTCCTGACGTTTCACCTGCATCTATGACTAGCATCCTCAGAGGTAGTGAAATCTTGCCATAGATGCAGGTGAAACGTCACGAGAGAATGCCTCTAGAACACGGCCATATAGCTCGAAAAAAACTACAACAACCCAGTGATTCCAGCCATGAAAGCCTTCAATAATACATGTTTTAATTTTTTAAATAAAATCATAGGCCAGCATTACATCTGCACCAGACTCATACAGTTTTTGAGTGTGTGCATAAAAAGAAGTTTTAAATGAAGAACAAAATCAGCTGAATTACCGCTTAGCAAGTACTCCATTCACTTGAGTGATTACAGTAGAGAACTGACCAAGGCCCAGCATAGATTTCACCACACCATGATAGTGAATTATCTAAAAAAAGGAAAAGAAAACCAGAGATATTATATCCCATTTTCCTTCCAATGAACCCAAAGTAGCAAACAAGAGTATTGCCTCCTTGCTCACTGTATCCACACAGAAGTCTTCTAAATTACTGTTCTGGCCTCTGTTTATGGTAGGACATGATGGCACAGTGAGATTTATGGATGCCATTTCTAGTACTCTTTAACTATCACACTGCAAAGCCAGTCAGGAAAATGAATGAGAGACCAGAGGCAGGAAAGGATAACAAAGGATGAAGTGTGGACAAATACAGCTACCTAAAATAACTTATTTCAAATGTGAATCAGGATTAAGAATGTAAACACAATATTTTGTTAAATCTGTGTCTCAATGAGGCAGATTGATGCTGAATGGGAGACCAGGTCTGGCCAGAGATATTTTTTTTCATTTGAGGTGAAGTGCAAAACATTATCTCCATATACAGAATTGAGCTGGTAGATCAATAGTTCTTCACTACTAGCAATAATTACTTACTTAGGCGATCCCTCGTTGGACGAGTAAGATGGTCTTCCATTATGGATTTCCTTGTGGGTCCGTATGTGGCTGTGGAGCCCTATTCTTGCTCTGCATCTTCTTCCGCAGTGAGGGCATTGGTTTCCAGGTGGAAGGCGGTCCCGGTCGGGGTTGGCTCGACGCGCCTTCCTCCTGGCACGTTTCTCTCTTTCACCCTCCACTCGTGCCTCCTCAAATTCTGCAGCACTGCTGGTCACAGCTGACCTCCAGCTGGAGCGCTCAAGGGCCAGGGCTTCCCAGTTCTCAGTGTCTATGCCAGAGTTTTTAAGGTTGGCTTTGAGCCCATCTTTAAATCTCTTTTCCTGTCCACCAACATTCCGTTTTCCGTTCTTGAGTTCGGAGTAGAGCAACTGCTTTGGGAGACGGTGGTCGGGCATCCGGACAACGTGGCCGGTCCAGCGGAGTTGATGGCGGAGGACCATCGCTTCAATGCTGGTGGTCTTTGCTTCTTCCAGCACACTGACGTTTGTCCGCTTGTCTTCCCAGGAGATTTGCAGGATTTTCCGGAGGCAGCACTGATGGAAACGTTCCAGGAGCTGCATGTGACGTCTGTAGACAGTCCACGTCTCACAGGCATAGAGCAGGGTTGGGAGGACAATAGCTTTATAGACAAGCACCTTGGTCTCCCTACGGATGTCCCGGTCCTCAAACACTCTCTGCTTCATTCTGGAAAATGCTGCACTTGCAGAGCTCAGGCGGTGTTGTATTTCGGCGTCGATGTTGACTTTGGTGGAGAGGTGGCTGCCAAGGTAGCGGAAATGATCAACATTTTCTAATGTTACACCATTAAGCTGTATCACTGGCATTGGAGAGGGGTTGGCTGGTGCTGCTGGAACAGCACCTTGGTTTTCTCAATGTTCAATGACAGGCCGAGCTTCTCGTATGCTTCTGCGAAGGTGTTTAGAGTGGCTTGTAGATCTTCTTCTGAATGCGCACAGACGACATTGTCATCAGCATACTGGAGTTCTATAACAGATGTTGTTGTAACCTTGGTTTTGGCTTTCAGTCTGCTAAGGTTGAATAGCTTGCCATCTGTCCGATAGATTATTTCCACTCCGGTGGGAAGCTTCCCATCAACAAGGTGAAGTATCATAGCGATGAAGATGGAGAATAGAGTTGGG